CAATCAACAGAAATACAAACCCTCTTACATGCGATGAACCTAATATTGCCACCAAAATTCTGAAACTCTTCACCTCTCTTAATTTAAAAATCTAAATTTTCGTTTATACTCCTATTTTCAAAATTACCTGTAAAGACGTTAATAGCCTGAGTCGCTGAATGTCTCAAAATTATAATAACTAACTAACTATATATATATACACATGAATTTGAATAGCATATATTTTCGTGATCTACGACCCGTGATCGGTGCTCTTCACAATGTCTCAGGTCTGGGTCCGACATCATGGGAGAATGCAATAGTGTATTTCCTTCGGAAAATACACTAAAAGGACATTTCCATCTGAAACAAGCTCTCCACAGTTTCCAGTTTTTTTGTTTTTTTGTTTCATAATAAAGCTGGTTCATTCCTACCTGGATTGTTCGATCGGCCTTCGTTTTCTTGCTTCCTACCGATGAGAATACAGATTCTTGAACACATTCATTCGTATATTTTCCCAGCTCCGAATGGTTGAATGCGCAAACGCAGTTGCTATTATAACACGCTCCACGGGTCCACTGCTTGTTGAGCAAAGGGACCCTACCCCACACAGAGTTGCAGTAGTTGTCACAGCTCCGCACATCCCAGGAATTTGAATGATCACACCCCCTGTCAGCATGAGCAGGGCTTATTCTGAACCCTGGATGAAGAACATATTAAAAGAAGTTCTACAAAACGTAAAACACGTAAGGCCTTGTCTCCATGGGACGTTTTCGTGGGATTTCTCCCAAGTTCGAATCGCAGGAATGAAACTTCTGGGATTTTTCCCAGTTACCGTCTGGACGAGGTTCATACGGTCTTGCGACTAGTTTGCGCGAGAAGATAACCTAGTGAAAGTCGAGTATTTAACCGGGTTTAAAATAATAAATGCACTCAATCAACAATTAGACACATTATTTAAACTAAGCAAACATGAACAATGGAGTAATCAACAAAATATCGCACAATTCGTTTACACTTCTTCTTCCTCTCTCATAGAGTCCCTTTATACTGAGAGTTAAGACAATTCGGCTCATGGATGTCACAAACGGGAATAAAGATTACAGAAATTGAACGTTTTTCGTAATCTTTGATCGGCCCATTCTCAAATGCCTTTCTCCGTTCCTCCTCTCATTCCGTTTGTTCCTTGCCGAACCCGTAATTCCCTGGTCCATTCCAGATTATAATCTTTGCAATTGGTGAAAATGTAATCTTTATTCCCGTTTGTGACACTGTGGAGGCCTAAAATACGGGAACCAATCAGAAATGGATTCTAATTGTCTTGACGCTCAGTATAAAGGGACTCTACTCTCTCAGTGGGTCCTAGAGGTAAAAGGACCATACTTGATACTGGGAAAAATATTGATTAACCCAATATTTTTCCCAACTTTGTAAGTGGGATTTTTCCCTGGGACAAATCCCGTGAAACGGCCCGTGGAGACAAGGCCTAAGACACGCTCCTGCAATTCCCAAGTAGTATTTTCCAACGGAACAATCGCGATATCTTGAAATTAAGTTTCGATCATTTAATGATTTTTTGACGATTATTGCTAGATTAATCACTATTTGAGAGATCATCTTCGATTTTGTCGCAATACCTATAATCTCTATAAAATTGCGTTCAATCGCAATTTTTTTCAAATCGAAATTTCAATTCAATTTATTAAATTTGTAGGTAATATTTCAATAAATCGCCGTCGATCTAATCGCGATTTATTTTTAAAATATAAGATGAAATCGCACGTATTTTTTTACCCGATTGTAAGTATCGCAAAAATTCGAAGTCAATAAAATTTATTTAAATGCGTTTGCGGTTATCAGTGTCATGTTTGGTAACAATTACAAACTTATTAAATTGTTTATTGTCAATATAAATACAGTGCTTCGGCTAGATAAGTAGGTATGAAATCGTTGTCAATAAAATTTCGATACATTCTCCCATCAAATCTCAAATCGCGATCACCGCTACTTGGGCTCTAGGTGGTTTAACCTAGGAAACCATGTAAGGGAAAAATATCAAGTAAGTGAGTTTTTTAGACTCGAAATCTGAAATTGAATTTTGTTTAAAAATCGATGCCGCAAAAGGAATAGACGTTCTAAAGATTCATGGAAAGAGGGTTTCCAGACGATCTTTTCTACTTCTTTAAACACTAATTTTCAACACTTTCAGCAGTCCTGAAAATATTTCAATCAAGCAGTTTTTACATAATGTGTAGATTCATTATAGATATTGTGGTTTACTTACCATAGTTGGGCAACGAATGAAACAAACTCAAGATGAAAAAATAGGTATGGGACCTCATCGCGAAATGCAACCATGCTTACAATGACTACTTTTCAAGCCAAAATCCGATATGCTCAATGCTACTTTGACAACCTGATATGATGTATTCTGCAACTTTTTTTGCAGCCGTCTGCATTGCGTCCCTCCTCGATTTTCAGCAGCAAAAGGAGTGTCGACTGTTTTTTCCCCTTCTTTTTTTAGTAACACTTTTGCGAAATGTTTCGTGAACTATAGCGCGGAGACCCGTATTAACGCTGATATGTTTCAAGTTTTTTTCCGTCATTAATGAAATGACGGAATGTCTTTTCTTTTTTCTTCTTTTTTTGAGGGCGCTATACGATGGTGCCCCTTTTCTAGCACACGCTGATGTCAGCGCGAATGATACTCATTTCAACAATGGGCTGCTAGACGTCATTACTGCCGTGCTAAGGAAGAACGCCGTATGAACATTCGAGAGTTGCCAAATTTCCCTTGATGAAACATGTATTTTTAACATCATTCATGCGTATCCTTCCTTGAAATTTTCAGATATTTTAGATTAAATTGCGTTCAAAATTGTCTGGAAAGCTTGGAAAATTAAGTTTGCAATTTTCCCAGTATAAATTCGTTTTTTATCGGAGGAAACTTGACAACGTCTGAAGGCTCATACTGCGTTTTTCCTTAGCACGGCAGAATAGATTTCGATACGTCACCCTTTTTCCCCCTACCTCTAGTTTACTGCAGCTTTAGACAAAATTCGAAGAAATTTCTGAAATGAGAAGCTTGGAGAACAATGTGCGCAAGTGCGGCCTTTGTTGCTATTTCGAGAAATACGTGTTTGAAGTTTCGAAATTACACGGATCCGTATGGCGGAAAAAAAGTTCAAACTGACTTTTTGATGCTTAAAATTGCGATTTGGAGCGAATTTTTCACAGAATATGCATTAAGACCAGTTTTACTCAAAATCGTTCATATTGATGATGATCATATATGATTTCAATACATAATGGGCCTGTTGCATGCAAGAGATACAGCCGTGCGAATAGACTTTTTTGTGGTTAAATGACACGAAAATTACGATGCTCACATTAAAAAAGTCTGAAATACACTCCTTATTGCGCAATTTGCGTTGTCAGGAACGCGCTTTTTCAAATTTCCCGCGTCTGGGGGCAGTTTCCTAACGGAAAGAATTAACGGAAACTCGCGGCTATTTCCGGTCAACTAAAACTGACAACATAACCTAAAAATCGGAGCTCGTGATATCGTGAAATGAAATGTAGAAGGATTGCGTTGGATATTTAAAAGTTGATCGATTTGGTTACCGTATAAAGCGTATATGGACCACTATAAGAGATCACGTTGGGTTTGTAAACAAATTGAAGGAAATAAATAACAACAACAACGACTCGACATCTTCCGGAAATCACCGAGCCCGCCGTTTGCTCATTTCCGGTGATTAGAAAACTGCCCCCAGACGCGGGAAATTTGAAAAAGCGCGTTCCTGACAACGCAAATTGCGCAGTGAGGAGTGTATTTCAGACTTTTTTAATGTGACCATCGTATTTTTCGTGTCATTTAACCTCTAAAAAGTCTATTCGCGCGGCTGTATCTCTTGCATGCAACAGGCCCATTCAGGGGCTTGGAGAACAAGGTGCACAAGTGCGGCCTTAGTTGCTATTTCGAGAAATACGTGTTTGATTTTAACTTGAAATGAGGATAAAGCACAAAAACATAGCTCGAACATACGAATAAAAAAGGAGAGAATGAAAATATGGGTAAACAAGGCTAAAACATTAAAAACACTTAAAGGCAGGACGTTTCGAGCTGCTACCAGCTCATTTTCAGCTGCAAAAACACATAAAAACAAGTAAAAAAAAATTGAGTGGCGACCTGACCCCAGCCGTTATCACGTAACCACTTGATGGTTGAGTGGTTACGTGATAACGGCTGGGGTCAGGTCGCCACTCAATTTTTCACGTGTTTTTATGTGTTTTTGCAGCTGAAAATGAGCTGGTAACAGCTCGAAACGTCCGGCCTTTTTGTTTTTTTAATGTTTTAGCCTTGTTTACCCATACTTTAATTCTCTCCTTCTTTACTTGATATAAAGTAGAGAGACAAATTGGCGCTCACTAGGTTTTGAACGCAGCCTGAATTTTTACACACCCAACTTACAAGCCGATGTCTAAAATGTTTTTTTAAAAAAGAAAATTAAAAAATAATTTGGTGTACTCCAGGAGCGACAGGATTTTTTTTACGTGAAACAAGTTTATTCCTTTTCCCTTTATATAATTATGCGACTGGCAGGCAACATTATAACGCGACGTGGTGCAAAAAACCCGTGTCACCGTTTCATAATCATTCTAAATGCGACAGTGGAGCAAAGGAATCTTCCAAAGACTTCCGCTTTTTCTCTAAAATTCATTTTTGCTCACACTGCTCTCTTCGTAACATGACATTATACAAAGACCGGTATAGCTTGTGAAAGTGCCTGCAACGTATTGAGTAGGCAACTTTTCTAGCTCGAAAGTACCCTCATTGCATACACAGAAAAATGAAGGAGCATGTGTGTATCATCATCAATATAAAGTAGGAAAAGAAAAGGCGGGGACGAGGCTGAAAACACACCATAATTTATAAAACACAGGATTTTTCGACCGGTCTCGGCCGGTCAATATCAACCGTCGAAAAATTATTAAAAAATCTAAAGTAGCGAGTAGACCGTTGGGTCTTCTCGCTGCCATGTTTTCTAAATTACTGTGTGTATTTCCAGCCTCGTCATCGCATTTTCTTATCATATTTTATATCTATGTTCTCGGGCTGCCATATTGTACATTTATCTATACTTCACCATCTGTATATCGCTGTATGGCCCATGAACCATGAATTTAATCTCATTATTTGCCCTTTCATTACTTGATACCTTCGCTGATCTTTGTTTTAACAATAATCTCAATGATTTTTAAAACGACGTCATTTTTAGAAACCAATCAAAGTAAATTCGTTACTCAGCTTCGTAAGCTTGTGCAGATTCAAAATGGATCTTTTTTCCTGTTGCAAAGAATCTTGAATTAATGATCGATCTTTCAACAATGGGCCAGTTACGCTTGGTCACAGAATCGTGTTTTGATGCTTGATGCTTGTCGATCAGTTAAAAATAGTAAGATCCGTCCGAACTGCAACTTTCTTCATTCAATATAAACCGAGGTATTGAGCTTTGAAAAATTCATTTCATGACGTCATCCACCGCGGTAGTGACACCCTTGGTTTCCTCCACTTTGCTTTCATCCAAGTTAAACGTTGAGTAACCAGTGCAGATGTGCGTTAAGGAAGAACGTCGTATGAACATTCGAGAGTTGCCAAATTGCCCGAGATAAAACATGTATTTTTGAGAATGATTGTCCGTATATTTCCTTAAAATGTTCAGACATTTTATATACAAAATTGCGAACAAAATTTTCTGAAAAAATTGAAGAAAATAATTCACGATTTTCCCAGTAAATTAAGGTTTTATTGAGGGAAATTTGGCAACGTCTAAAGGTTCATACGGCGTTTTTTCTTAGCAAGGCAGAGTAGTTCTGGCTCGTGTCGATGTTGGCCCTAAGAAGGAAACCATTTTGGACGTTCTTTAGACACCGTTTCCTTTTGAGGAACAATGAGGGGAAAAGTCCACTGAATCTCTGCGTCTTAGGCAAACAATGAAATTGTTAACGGAGGTAGGCAGGTTATAAACGAACTAATGCCAACCCGCGAGAGACCCTGTAGTTATTCCATCATTTTCTCCCTTAATCTACGTAATATGTATGACCCGTTTCAACCAATAGGATCACCGCCATACTGCCCATGTTTTCTTTGTCTATAGCTCTGTCAATCAATATCATTAATCCGGCCGCTGGTTCTACCTACTTTTTTAGTCGTATAGGGACAATGTTACTTTTGTTGTATAACAATCAATTCGGCTCCCATTACGGTGCTGGCCAGGGCCGGATTTAGGGGGTGGCAACATGGGCCGCGGCCCATGGCGGCAAATGTAGAGGGCGGCAAATTTTGCAATGTTTTTAAATGTAGGTATAAAAAAAATCGGATTTAGAAAAAAAAATTACAAACGAGAAAAGGCGACAAAATCTCTCATTTCCTGAGAGTATAGTAATTTCTAATTTTGTCGTCTTTCAGTAATACAAGAGACAGCACCTTTCATTAGTCGAGTTAAAAGAGAAACTTCTAATTTTGTCGTCTTTCAGTAATACAAGAGACAGCACCTTTAATTAGTCGAGTTAAGAGAGAAACCAAACACGCAATTTGGCCTGGAACGGCGCGGCTTAGCAAGAAATGATGACGAGGACTTGAGAACGAAAGTAGAAGCCCTCGGCGCGGCGGTCGGCATGTAACACATATCAGCGCCTACAAGACTGCATGAATACTTCTCGCATTGCATCAAACACAGTGCGGTCAATGCGGTCAGCGTGAAACGCATAGCGTCTACAAGCCTGCGTGAATACTTCACGCATTACGTCAAACACACTGCGTTCAGCAGCGGTCGGCGTGAAACGCACAGCGCCTACAACACTGTAGGAATACTTCACGCATTGCGCCGAACACAGTGTGGTCTGCGTGGCGCGGTTGTGGGAATTAAAATCATTAAACCACATTTATGTTTGTTCTTTCATAATTTTTTCGTTCATATGTGATAAATGGAAGGCTTTGACCACACAGAGAAAGGTTTACGGAACTTAACTTTCGCGCAAAGTACCATGAACTTTTACAGATAATGTTGACAGTGCTTTCTCAAAAAATGTGTCCAACACGAGTAAACGCGCTCTATGCACCCTTCCCCCTCCGGCACGTTTACTTAATGGTTTTTATTGATGTTTCAAAACGAATGAGAAGGGGGCGGCAAAATACAGGCGGCCCATGGGCGGCAAGTAGGTAAATCCGGCCCTGGTGCTGGCCCGCAGAACCGGAATAAGTTTTACCACAAAAGCGACATTTTAATTGAGACTGGAGAAGCAACGAGCATGTGCATTGCAACGCTAGGAAAGTATGTACCGTCTGCTCCCGCAAGGCAGCGCCTGGCACTGCAGTAACTATACTCGCTTGCCGGATATTTAATTTGCATAGGTAAAATATTGAAGGCGCTCTGGTTTTTCTTGCACTCAGCATTCTTCTGCCGTGCTAAGGAAAAACGCCGTATGAACATTCTAGAGTTGCCAAATTGCCCCAGATAATATATATATTTTTGAGAACGATAATGCGTTTTTTTCCTTGAAATTTTCAGACATTTTATACAAAATTGCGAACGATTTTTGTCTGAAAAAATTGCAGAAAAAATTCACGATTTCCTCAGTAAACTGAAGTTTTATTAAAGGAAATGTGGGAACGTCTGAAGGTTCATACGGCGTTCTTCCTTAGCACGACAGTATTGTGGTGCGCGGAGAGCGCTTGGTTGCATATCGCACCACGCTGAAGGCGTTGCCCCATTGTGATGAATTACCTTACCTTTACCACTTACCTTGTTTTCCGAAGTATAAAACATCGTTGATATTGAACGTTAGAACTTTACATTCGGAAGTACCTATCTCATTATTTTTCGTTAATTCAGAAAATTCAACCAGTGAAACACGATTTAGTCACTGGGGCACAAAGTTTTATTATTTATCTCCTCTGCCTTTTTATCCCCAGGCGTGAACACTATCCTCTTTTCATTTTTCAGGTTATTCATCACAGTTTGTGGCGTGCGATATATAGCTTGTGTCAAAAATCTCGGCAGATTTTGAATTTTTAGCCCAAAAGAGGACGATAGCCCCTGGGCATGAGCCTGAAGAATCGTTCTGAACAAAAAAAATGGCAAAATTCAGAAAAATGAAAGCAGAGTCATGTTTGGGAAAAACTTGCGTAATTGATACAGAAATCGATCAATGTATCGAATGCGTGGTTTTTTCCTCAACAGGACTCTGCTTTTATTCCTCTAAATGTTGCCGATATTTTTGGTTTAGAATGATTCTATAAGCTCATGCGCAGGGGCTATCGTCCTTTTCTTGGCTGAATTTCAAAATCCGCCAACATTTTTGACATAACCGATGCGATATATCGCATGCCAGTTCGACCACATCAGAAACCTTGACGAATCCCTTTATCGTGACCGCAGTGGCGTGGCGTGCTTTGCGATGTATCAATTGATCGGTCATTTAAACCTATGGAAAAGGATCGATAGACAAGGTGTTCGCAACGAACACCTTTATCATCGATCTTTTACCATTGCTTCAAATGGAGGAATATCGATAATCGATCATTTACGCCTCACCACTGATCGTGACTTTCAGCCGCGCAAACTCTCAACGAGCCCCTCTACTTAGTTGCGATTCTCCGAAAGAAAACGATTGGATTTACTCCATTATAATTCATTGTTAACAATCGATTTTAAATAGAGCACCTCTTCCCAAAAAAATCGATTATTTAACATACATTTAAATGGACGGACCCGAGGTTGCCAACTCGAGGGCATAACCTCAACTTCCAGTCGAAGCTGCGCACCGCGCAGGGAAGCCCTTCAAGCCCACCATTTATCGAATTAGCGCCGTTTGCCAAATTGTCGTCGTATTCCCGAATACCTCATCCCTGTGAGATGAAATTACAATTTTTTCCTTACAATTTTACAATTCAACCCACCTGTGTTTGAACCAGCGATGCAACTTCGAACATGATGCGGAATTCCTCGGAATGGTACAGTGAAAATTGAATGCGAAATGTGTCAAAGCGAATTTGGACAGGGTTGTCTCGTGGTTTGAAAAATCGCCCGATTTTTAACGCGATCCTTAGGAAAGGTAGTGAATGATCGACTGTTGCATTTCGGGATAGTTACGGACGGTTTATAACTTCCCGCAGCGTGTGTCCTACGATTTTACTATGGTGGACGGTAAGTTTGCTTTTCAATACTTTGTTTTTTCGGTGGTAGCAACAGATCAGTGGGCACACAACAGAAAAATCATACTGACGTTGAAATTTGCAAGCCAAGCATCTCAATTGAAAAGATTAATTTTTTTTCTTAATTTTTGACTTTGAACAAAATGGAAATCGAACGAAAAGTATTGTCACATGATTTATTTCACACTGAAAAAAAAAAATCTCGGTGTGTTTACTAAGAAAAGGGTAAAATTACCAATAATTCAGGAAGTGGTATTCTTACCTGAAAAAAAACCAGTAAAAATACCGGTTTTTAGGTAAGCTTACAAGTCTGTCTTGGTAAAATTACCGATAATTGGTAAAAAAAAAAAGTGAGATGGTACAGGTATCAACGGACCTTGGTAAAAACGCCGAGAATTTTTTTTCAGTGCAGGGCCAGTATATTAATCCCACACTGCGTAGAACCAAAATAACCTGAAAACCTCCTAGTTTTTTGGTTGGCACCATATTTAAGACCTCAGGCATCCATAAGCAACAAAGTGGTTCTCATTATAAAATGACAAAATTTCAATGATATGTAACAAACTATGGAGTATGCCCCCTGACCACCTCGCGGTTCAGAACCCTGAGGCGCTTTCTCACCTCAGGCGTTATGCATTATGCGTTACGCGTTAGGCTTATAATTGGAATGCATTTCGCAATTTGGAACTATAAATTCTGCCTCTTTTGAAAAAACACTTATGTGCATAGGGAAACTAATGGCACATACGTTGTTTTTAAACCGGACTAGACTTTATAGTTTCAAATTGCAAAATGTAGTCCAATTGAAGCGCTGGGTGCAGGAAGGGTATTTCTTGGTTGAGATGTCTCAGGATCTCCTTTAATGTTTCATCCACTAAAATTAAAGCATGCATGGAATTCGTTAAAACTTTTACTGAATTTTTTTCATGATTTTACAATGCTAAAGACTAAAAATTTCAGAAAATTCGCTCAATTGTTTCCTCTCTAAAATATAAATTAGCGGAGGAAACTCTAAGACACCGCGACTAAAAAATACTCCTTCTGCACCCAACGCTTCAATTTTATTTTATAGGGTATCATTTTTTTTTTCGGTGAGAATTTCATAAAAAATTGTATGGTGTAAAAAATAATTAAGGCTCTTCCGCTTAGAAGTGCAGACTTTCAACGTGCAGACGGGCGTGGTGAAGACGGGCTACTACCGCTACGATGACGACACCCAATACGTGGGGGAGTGGAACATGCGGGGTCAAAAGCACGGCATGGGTTACCTCAAACTCCCCGACGGGACGCGCTACGATGGCAGCTTCCACAACGGCCTCTGTTCCGGCATAGGGGTCATGACCTTTCCCGATGGAGCTAAGTAAGTAACAAGTAATTATTCCAAGTACTGCCGTCCTTCGCAAACGCCGCCCAAGTTGCAAAATGGAAATATTTTATGAAAAAGAAATTAATGAAAAAAATTTAGAAAATAAAGAAAAAATAGCATTAAAGGTGCCGTCCCCACGCAAAATCTTCATGCAGATTTATCAGCGTCTCTCCGCGGCGTCCAGGACGCCGCCGCGGACAGACGCCGCACATTGGTTCCAGGGCCCGATCTAGGTGGCATTAATTAGAATATCACTGATGATGACATGTTATATATGTTTCTAGGGGTTCTTTGGGTCGCTAATTACGAATTTGAAGTCAATTTGACTGTATCATTTAGCATAAGGTGGTAAATTTGCATTTAGCTTGAAAATTCATACTTAATACTACATTAATAATATTTTAACATGGCTGAATTCCTAGACTGATATATTTTTCAACCTTTTTTGATTTATCATCAAAAACTATCGATGAATTTACGAGGATTTGTCCTCTAATTACTAATTTTTTTATTAGGGGGGGGGGGGGGGGGGCAATGTTGTATAATTTTGTGAACCAGGAATTGGTATTATCTGGTAAAATATACTGCCTAAATGTTGTGGTTTCCCTGAGGAAAATAAATTCCAGTACCAAAGAAAACTACTTATCCCACTATTCGAGTTGTTCATACAGTGTTGACAAATCAGCGTAAGAAGAACTTTATTTGAACCTCAATGCTCGCTGATTTCTTGATTCGCCGCGCTTTAAAACCAACAGAAATTTTGAAGCTTTGTAATTTAATGGTACAATTATGCTATCAGAATTATTATGTTATCAGAATAACTATGAATTAAGATTCGATATTCGTCTATAATTCAAAAAATACATTTAAATTCATTATACGCGGCAATTTAAACATACGTAACATAAATATTTTACTTGAACAAGAAGTATATTCACTCAATGAAGGAAAGCAGAAACCAAAATTAATAACAAAGTATTTTGAAAGAAAAATGATTACTGTCTGTAAGAGCAGGAAAATATTCATCGGTATAATATTTTATTGCGCATCAAAAAGAGTGAGGTGTCACACTTGCTTTTTTTTCTTTTTTAAACAAAGTTGTGAGCTTGCGATGATTTCAGAGCCTTACAAACCTGAGAGAATAAAAACACGAATAAATCATGAACCAAGAAAGAGATAAGCATTCGTTGTTAAGTTAGAGGACATTTACTCAGACAATCACGGAATAATGCGCGAGGAGTGCAGTAAGCTCCTTTTCTGTGGAACAGTTCTATGTCTATGGGCCTCTCTAAAGGTACAGACAATGTGAAAAACAATTATCTAAACGATTGAGAGGATTTAAGAACCCACGTGTTCTGTATTTTAAGCCATAATTGTAAAATTTCTAGTCAAAAAACGGGAACTGTCTTTAGTCTATGGGCTTCTCTACAGGTGTAGACAAGGTGAAAAATAATCATCCCAATGATTGTGAGGATTTGAGAACTCACGTGATGTGCAAAAAATGCAGTCCTCAAAGATCTGGAGTCTGCAGTAGTGCAGTAAGCTCCTCAGTGTGTCAATTTTCTTCATTTCTCGAAGGCCGGTTTTGGAAATTCAAAGTGCGCTAACCTCCAGGGACGCAAGTATGCGCAGAATTTTTTTGCTCCGAAATCAAGTGTAGGGTCAGCACTAACTACTACAGTCGGTCTGCACGTGTGCGAACCTACGCATGGCCTTTATTTTGAGTCATAATTGTAAAATTTCCAGTCAAAAAACCGGAGCTGTGGTAAGTCTATGGGCTTCTCTAGAGGTATAGACAAAGTAAAAAATAATCATCTTAACGATTATGAAGACTTGAGAACCCACATGACCTGTAAAAAAATGCAGTATTCATATTCCCAAGGATCTGAGGTCTGCAGTAAGCTCCTTAGTGTGTCAATTCTTTATTTCTTGAAAGCCGGTTTTGGAAATTCAAAGTGCCCTAACCCCCAGGGACGCAAGTATGCGCAGAATTTTATTGCACTAAAATCAAGTTTAGGGTTAGTACTACCTACTACAGTAGGTCTGTATGCGTGCGAACCGGCGCAAGACATTCATCTAGAGCCATTTTTGTAAAAATTTGCTTGGAATTAGTAGAAAATAACGCTTTGTCTAACGGCTTGTCTAGATGTATAGACACGTTTTTGAAAGATAGTAAGAACGTATAAACCTTTAACATGCCTTATATTTTTGATACACCATAACAGAACACTTCACATTTGCATCTATTTCTGTGTGATGAACTTCAAATCATAGGACCTGACAGTAAACACTGAAAACTGGTGCGAGTCCGCCCAAAAGTACCTCGCGGCCTCACCTTTAGGTGCTTATCATTTCCTTATTAGTGATCCAATCTTCATGATATTTGGCCAAGTTACTCTCGAGAGTATGCATTATCAATCTGTGGTGTCAAATTTTAATTTTTCCAAAATTCATTTTTTCGAATTAATGCCACCTAGATCGGGTCTGGGAACCAATGTGCGCCGTACCTAAAGACCGCACTGTTTGGCGCAATGCGTGAAGTATTCATGCAGTCTTGTAGGCGCTATGGGTTCGAGCCGACTAGAGTCCCTTTATACTGAGAGTCAAGACAATGCGAATCCATTTCTGATTGGTTAACCGGATTTTAGGCCTTCACAGTGTCACAAACGGGAATAAAGATTACAATTTCACCAATTTCAAAGATTATAATCTGGAATGGACCGAGGAATTTCGGGTTCGACAAGGAACAAACGGAATGAGAGAAGGAACGGAGAAAGGAATTTAAGAATGAGCCGATCAAAGATTACGAAAAACGTTCAATTTGTGTAATCTTTATTCCCGTTTGTGACTGCATGAGGGGTGTTGTCTTGACTCTCAGTATAAAGGGGCTCTAGAGCCGACTGATGCTGAACGCACTGTGTTTGACGACGCAACGCGTGAAGTATTCATGCAGTCTTGTAGGCGCTGATATGTGTTGCACGCCGACCGCCGCGCCGCCGTATCCGTAAAGTTCCGTACCTTAAAACACTCTCAAAACACACTCAACTTAAACTCTCTCAAAATCATAGAACAGGATGATCTTGTGACTCGAGCCAGGGTCGGATTTACGTACTTGCCGCCCATGGGCCGCCTGTATTTTGCCGCCCCCTTCTCATTCGTTCTGAAATTTCAATAAAAACCATCGGGGAGAGACGCATAAGACGCGTTCACTAGTGTTGGGCGCATTTTTTTACGAAAGCCCTGTCAACACTACTAGCAAAAGTTCACAGAACTTGCGCGAAAGTTAAGTTTCGTAAACCTATCTCTGTGTAGTCGAGGCATTCCATTTATAAGAGATGAACGAAAAAATTGAGAAAAAACAAACATATATTTGGTTTAATAATTTTAACTTCCTCCGCCGCCGCGCCGTGTCTATGGCGCAATGCGTAAAGTATTCATGCAGTCTTGTAGGCGCTATGCGTTTCACGCCGACCGCTGCTGATCTCACTGTGTTTGGCAATGCGTGAAGTATTCATGCAGTCTTGTAGGCGCTTACATGCCGACCGCCGCGCCGAGGGCTTCTCCTTTTCATCTCAAGTCCTCGTCATCATTGCTTTCTGTGCCGCGCCGCTCCAAGCCAAATTGCGAGTTTGGTCTCTCTCTTAACTCGACTAATTAAAGGTACAGGCGCTGTCTCTTTTATCACCGATAGACGACAAAATTAGAAATTACTATACTCTCAGGAAATGGGAGATTTTGTCGCCTTTTCTCGTTTCTAATTTTTTTTTTTAATCCGATTTTTTTTATACCTATTTAAAAAAATTGCAAAATTTGCTGCCCATGCGGCCACCCCCTAAATCCGGCCCTGACTCGAGCATGGCTATCCTATCCAAGCCCGTTTTACACCATCAAACATTACATCCGACATAATTGAACAGGAAGTCGGATGAAAAGTTGAACGCAGAAAAAATTGATTCAATCACTCTCCGTTCAACTTTCCATCCAGCTGGCGGCACCAAAGATTTGCCGTCCGTTCCGGTGTCGGAGACCGAAACTTCCGGGTGCTGAAACTTCGATTGATCCGGGTGGTACGCTCGTAACATCCGGGCTCTGAGCCCGGAACGCGGACGGCATGTCTATACAGCCCGTAAGTACAGCTTCTACAGCCGGAGTATTTTTTCAGTGTTTTACAAACGAAAAGTTGAACGTGACGTCACATTCAAGTTTTCATTCAATTTTTTTTTTTTTTTGGTCAAATTGAATTTTCTCGTGTCAGTATCACATTATTCAACTTCTCATTTGACAAAAAATTGCACTCAGGAGCTGAATGAGGAGTTTGAAAGTGTGATTTGGGCTTACTTGAATCAGTGAGAACGAAAACTACCAACTCGGTAACTCAAAAATGATCAATTTTCATTAAAGAGAGTCAGTTTTCATAGAGGTCATTGAAGTTAACGCATCTGTTCCAACTTGGACCTTTAAAGTGTCCTTTAGTACTTGTCTTTCGGCACCAAAAATATTTTTCTTGTGCTAACTTCTTCAACTACTGTTCAGTTTTGCGTGCATGTGTCTTGATTATTTTCATTTTTTCGAGTCGGTGTGTTTTCGTTCGCACTGATTCAATTGAAGTCATTATATCTTGTGAATTATTTTTCCGTGACAGATATGAAGGCGAAATGATGCAAGGTTGGTTCCACGGCCACGGTGTGTTCTGGAGGGCGGATGGTATGAAATTTGAAGGCGAATTCAGAGGCGGGCGCATCTGGGGACTTGGTACGTATGCGAATGCTGCATTGCTGCCGCGCTAAGGAAGAACGCCGTATGAAACTTCAGACGTTGCCACATTTCCTTCAATAAAACCTTAACTTACTGAGAAAATCGTGAATTTTTTCTTCATTTTTTCAGACAATTTTGTTCACAATTTTTTATAAAATGTCTGAAAAGTTCAAGGAAAAATACCTACGCATAATCGTTCTCAAAAATACATGTTTTATCTGGGGTAGTTTGGCAACTCTTGAATGTTTATACGGCGTCCTTTGCACGGCAGTATGGACTGTAATTTTTGTACTTGAAATTCAAAGAATTCTGAAAAAAAAAAAAAAAAAAAAAAAAATTAACCCTCCCATCAGTGAAACGATCTGTAAATTCTGTAATTCGTGTACAAAATGGATTGCATTTTGCGAAAAGGAACCAAGAGCATTCCAATGTCGTTGAGATTGTGCCAATGATTTTACCTTGCAAATATAAAACCATCATCTGAGAAAGTTTTGTCTTTACTCCCAATAAAGTATAAATTCAAGAAGAAAAATAACTTTGGTCGATTTAATTTTTCGCTCGATCCCAGTAATTTTATTGCAATAAATGTAGGTTGCACTACCCTGGCAACATTGGAATGCTTTTGGTTCCTTTTTGCAAAATGCAATCTAAATGAATCAGTGCCTTCGAAAACAAACCAACTCGGGTTTTTTTCGATTTTCACTTTTTTACGGTTTAGTAACACTTATGGATAGAAGCATTTGCACGCAAAAGGAAATTTCGAAATTGCAATAGGAAGTTCTCGAACTAGCGACGGAAAAGGGAAGAATCGAAGTATTTCATTGGAAAATACCAATTTTTGGCCATTTCAAGGGAAACGGGTGACCTTCCGATTTTGCTGTTTTCTTTTTTCGGTTCAGTATACCTTGTACCAACAAGTTATATAAATATTCAAGCGTTATTCAGGTCAAAAAATATAAATTTTTTAGGGCAGACTAAGAAAAATCTGTGTCTGAAAGTCGGTGAGAACGAAAACACACCAACTCAGAAATTTTTAAACGCGTAATTTTCTGTCATCAAAAATGGTGTACAGAGCCGGATTTACCTACTTGCCGCCTATGGGCCGCCTGTATTTTGCCGCCCCCATCTCATTCGTTTTGAAACATCAATAAAAACCGTCAAGTGAACGTGCCGGAGGGAGAAGGAATGCATAAGACGCATTTACTCGTGTTGGATACATTTTTTGCGGAAGCCCTGTCAACACTACTAGCAAAAATTCACGGAACTTGGCGCAAAAGTTAAGTTCCGTAAACCTGTCTCTGTGTAGACAATACCTTCCATTAATAAGAAATGAACGAAAAAATTATGAAAGAACAATCATAAATGTGGTTCAATAATTTTAGCTTCCACCGCCGCGCCGTGCTGATCGCACTATGTTTGGCGCAAAACGTGAAGTATTCGTGCACTCTTGTAGGCGCTATGCGCCGACCGCTGCTAAACGCACTGTTTGACGCAATGCGTGAAGTATTCATGCAGTCTTGTAGGCGCTATGCGTCACACGGCGACCGCTGCTGACCGCACTGTGTTTGACGCTATGCTTGAAGTATTCATGCAGTCTTGTAGGCGCTAATATGTGTTACATGCCGACCGCCGCGCCGCGCCGAGGGCCTCTCCTTTTCATCTCAAGTCCTCGTCATCATTGCTCTCTGCGCCGCGCCGCTCCAGGCCAAATTGCGTGTTTGGTTTCTCTCTCAACTAGACTAATGAAAGAGCAGCCAACCTTCCGACTTAAAAATGTCACTGACAAAATTCAGATTCCAATGTCAGGCCATAAAACGGCCAAGAATGTTCATAAATGAGCGTTCTGGCCAAATTGCGTGTTTGGTTTCTCTCATAACTCGGCTAATTAAAGGTGCTGTTTTTTGTATCACCGCAAAACGACAAAATTAGAAATTACGATACTCACAGGAAATGTAAGATTTTGTCGCCATTTCCCGTTTGCAATTTTATTTTTATACCTAAATTTAAAAAAAAATTGCAAATTTTGCCGCCCCCTAAATTTGCCGTCATGGGCCGCGGCCCATGAGGCCACACCCTTAATCCGGCCCTGATGGTGTATCGATTTCAACTTGGTGCTTTACAAAGTCTCTAAGTACTTGTCCTTTGGCACCGAAAAGTTTTTTTTAAACTAACTTCTTCGCCCGCTGTGCAGTTTTAGGTGTTTCCTGAACAATTTTTTTTTTCCGAGTTGGTGTGTTTTCGAATTCACTGATTCAATTAAACACCGCGCGAGATACGCAGTTGGGAGCCGTTTGCCTCGATAAACGTGTCAATAAACGTACGTGGGAATGCTGCACTGAAAACCCCTGACTAGGATACAACTAATTCAACTTGGATGTGCCCGCTTTTGCATACCCACAAAAATGCAGGCGATTCAGAGTTTTACTGAGTCGGACTCGAAAACTCGTTTCCGAAACGTCTCGAAAACTCGAATTGGACGCATTTATGCTAAAAGGAACTATGTGCATAGGACTTGCGTGAAACATAGTTCTTCTTGGCATAAATATGTCCAATGGACCACTAGACAAGGAACGAATTTCAGCATTCTGATACGTGTTTCGTAACTAAAATTTCACGTAGAACACGATGCGCACAACAAATTTTACCGAAATTAACTCCTTACGAAGATGTTTAATGATTCTTGATGTGTTAATTCAAACCACCCGCTCATGAAAACTCAATGCTCTACGTGATTCACATCGCGCGCTAAACGTTATCATGACAGTCTCTGCGATATAAAAATCTGGCAACCTCAATCTTGACGCTTTGGCTCAGCTAAAGCAAATTGCTTGTAGTTTGAAAAATACATGGCGGGAATGTACATTGCTCGGTTAAGAAGCTTGCTGAAACCGTTGTAGTGCGGAATTTGACTCACGTAGAGTTTTGAGTTTCTTGTGAGCGAGCAGTTCAAATTCCTCGTAAACAATGTGAAATAAAAACGTTAATATCTTCGTTAGGAGTTGATTTCAGTAATTTTCGTTACTTGAATCGTGTTCTACGTGAAATTCTGGTTAAGAAACATGTATCAGATTACTTAAATTCGTACCTTGTCTAATGGTCCATTATGAATAACGAATAACGAAGCTGTCCGAAAATGTCACTGAATTTCTTTGTGCTGTCGATAAAATTCGGTGAAATTTTCAAACAGATTCAACCGACGATTTCTCTGAACGTCGCATGGCGCTCATGATACTTTAGCGGAAAGGTGGCGATCTCTTTAGTTTCGATCCATCCCCATCATCTCGATAAGGACAAGGGGAGTATCCGGGATATGCTTCAGATTCACACCCCTCCCCCTTCAGTGAAACAAAGAGGGAGATCAATTTCTGAAAATTTGAATTTTAAGTACTTAATCAACTTGTTGAGTTCAGAATTTGCATTACTTTTGGAGCATCTCTAAACGGAAATTTAAACACAGTTGGAATCAAAGTAGTGAACATTGAAAAAAATATTCCCCAAAAATTTGCTTCAACATGTCCAATGAGGCACTGTTATTGAAAGATGAAACATTTTTCAACATAAAAATAAGTAGGTACCTCTTCTTTGCTATTTCAATGAAAAGATGCGGGCCTGAAATGGACCGAGTTTATCAGAAAGGAACCAACCCACATTTTCGAAAAAATTGAGTTGAGAATGTTTTAGAGTTTCACTAGCCGTATAGTTTCTCCTGCCAAAAACTGAAAGTCTGAAAACAAAAATTGTTTTGTGAAAAGAGGGGTTAGAGTTTATTTTTTACATTGAGCCCTACGCAGGAATAAAAATTCAAACCTCTTTTCCACAGTTTCAATTTAATGTGGGTTGGTTCCTCTCTGATGAACTCGGTCCAAATAAAGCTCAGAAGTATCACAATATTTTTATTCGATTTAATTTTCTGCTCCTGTAAGCTGCAAGTTAATTTTTTTGCTTTCGTAAATATTTTATTTTACATAATAAAATAGTGTAAGTGATGCGATAGAAGGTACCCTACAAATGCCTGGAAATGTGTCTACTTCGCCAGATGATTTTTCAGAGACTGTCTTGGGTAGAAGTTAACATCGTCAAAGAACTTATCCTCTATATGTATAATCACACTGAAAGTTAACCTGCAACTTGATTTTCCCTTTCCAGGTTTGGTAACTTTTAGTGACGGGAGCCATGGGTTTCCACGGAATGAGGGATTCTTCCAAGACTGTCGCATGGTGCGGAAAAAACAATGCCCAGATGTGGTCCAGAAAGCTCAAAAAGTTGCACTCATGGCTCGTGCACAATGCCAACCCCAGGAACCAGAGCCGATGCAACAGTGAAAATCAATGGCAACATACACACCCTTAACTGAATTTGTAAACTGATAAGTTATCATTATGAGAGCACTTTATTTTCAAAGATATTTTGTGACATTAAAACAACTGACATGTAATCGTAGCTACGTTTGGACTTGTCAAAACTGAGAATTGGACCTGTTTCTGGGCTAAAAGCAGGCATTTGGACCGTGTTAAGCAGAAAGGAACCAAACCACATCAACTATTGCCAAATTTAACAGGGCAATCTAATTCTTTACAAAAAAAAAACGTTTGTGCAGATTCCTTTGAAAATTTTAAGGAATTTATTTCATACTATGCAGAAAAGTAACTGAAATTTGCACAAAAAATTGCTCGACCGTTCATGTAAAACATTAAACTGCCCAGTTAAAGTTGGCAATAGCTGATGTGACTTGGTTCCTTTCTCCTTAACGCGGTCTGTTTCTTGCTCTGGAGTAAATTTTAGACGTTCCCAGTATTTTTTCTATATTTTTTGAAATATTTAATGGGGAAAGAATCCTAATGGTGTTTAATTTTTACCATTCTCTTAAAATCAGGAAAGCAAGTCAGTTAATTACATTCTTCATTTTTGTCTTGACAACGTATTGGAATAAAGGTGAAAAAATATGGAAGAGGTCAAGTAATTTTATGCAAAAAATACTATATGCAAATTTTATAAACAAAATATTGATACAATTTTACAAAGTTTTGAAGATGAATTTGGTAACTAAGAAAAAAAAACTAAATTTACAAAGATACAAAATATGTAAGAATTTTATCAGACTTAGACTTGATTATTTCTTTGCTATATGAACAAAGCTAACAATTGATTCAAATAAAATGCACTTAATGTATAAAAAAATACTTCATTAGCAATTCATAACAGCTTAAAAATAAGACTGTATCATAAAAAATTTGGATTAAAAGACATGGAAGTGATTGAATTATACACAAGAGACACTAAGAAATAAGTGATCTGATGTAGCCGTTTTAAGCGTAACATGATACAAGTCAGTGAAAAGTTTTGATTGAAAACGGGACACAAGATCATTTCAAGGAAACTTCTTGAAGGACTACAACTAGCAGCAAGTTTTATCAAATGTTTGTAGAGTACCTAATTTAAATAACTAAAAAAAGACCCTATACCAGAAAAGGAGAGTATGTTTATACCAAACATCAGAATGTAAAAAATGTCCAGCAGCGCTCCTTGATAAGACTACTCCAACGGTTAATTTTGCATTCTTAGGTATAAATTAGAAAAGTCATTCAACTTCAAAAACCTAAGCTTAACTCTTTGCATCTTGATGCAGCTTAAAGAACACGGTGGAATTTTTTACTTATCCTGATGGATGCAACTTTGAAAGAAACTCACTGGGCTCTTACAAAATTTTTTAGAGTACACTTATGACAGTTTAATTACCCCACCAATGATGAAACTTTGGATGAAAACCTTAAAATAAGTTTCTTCCAATGCTCGGTTAACAAATCTGTCTGAACAAAATGAATTATCACCCAAAAACCCACATTTCAACCAATATATTTTCATTCGAAAATTGGAACGCAGCTTTGGCGAAAAATACCCCCAAGGGGAAAAACCTTTTGACCTAAAATGTAAAAATCTTTGGCATCTGCTTAGTAATAAAAATTTTACAAAAGAACTTACATACAATACAAATATATAATTTAATACAAAGCAAAAACAAAGCTTAATAAATAAAAACAATAAAATCTCAATTTTAATGCAGAACAACAATTAAAGATTCCTATGATTGAAGGAATCACAGACCTACCTACAAAATTTTTTTTGAGATACTTGAAAAACAATCATCAAAAGATATGGAAATAAACATCATGTCTCACTGTCTATTTTATTTGAAATAGACAGCGGTTTAAAGTAAAACGCAGGACAGAGATGAGGGATTATAAAATTATTTTATGCCATGGGTGTCTTCTTTTCTGAAAGATGACACTGTGAACTTATTTGATCAGCAAAATCTAACCAAATAGCGAGAGAGCTAATTGAAATGTCAAAGTAAAGTTTGATTGCTTACACGTGGAAAATTAAAGCCAAAAAAGTTCTCTTAAAGATGAGTGGAAGTCAGGTGATATCAGAAAGATCTGACTTATGAGTTTCTTGATTCTTGAAAGGGGAAAAAAACGCAGAGATTGGATATTTTACATAAAAATATATGTACTAATTATAATTCCTGTAATTTTTAAAATATACTTTTTTTTTTGTAAATTTCCTTCATTCACTTAAAAATTAATCTCACAGAATAAAATCTTCAAATAATTGTTCATGTGTTTAGAATTGCATCCCAAAAGTAAACACACTTATAGCTGAGTCGCTTATTTCCCAATGAACTGTCGGATCTAAAAACTTTAGTTCAGTAGTTTACCACAAAATTGATAAATTCAAATGATATTTCAATAAAAATAATACGAAAATCCTCATCTTTAAAATCAATTTCCATTGATCAAAAAATATGCTAATACATAATTTACATGCCAATGATGAGAAAATATTTAAAGTAGAAAAATAGTTGCTAGCGATCAGAAAATACTAAAAATCTTTTTGCAGATAATAATTAAAAAATATTTGAGTGAAAAATGAGAACGCTCATTAGGCACAAAAAGACTATCCCTACAAAAAATTAGAATGATCCTACTTAATAATTCTTGAGAGGAATGCATCTCAAACAAACACTACAGTCTTGAGGGGGGAGTTTTTGGCAAAGTTTGTAATTCTGAGATTTAGAGGCACGAACAATTGAAAAAACTTATAGCAAAAAATTCAGCGCGATGAAAATAATAAATATCAAACAGAAAGGAAAATAAAGAGTAGTTATTGTAAACAGTTTGATAAAAAAAAATAATAATCAAGGAAAATCATAGTCCTGTTATTTTGTAACACACGCAAGTTGTAGATGAGGCTAAAATGGCGTCAGTCCCTGTTGGAGCCTCACATTAAAAAATGACAAGTTTTTCTTTTGAAACACATTTCAAATCTTTTTTATTTTACACAAGTAAAACTTCAAAATTTTGGTTTCTGGCTTATTTAGAGACCTTGCAATAATTGAAAATTGCTCATCTTTTCTCAAACTAATGCAACAAGTCTGATCATTTTTCTTGTTGGCATTTTGACATAAAAAAAAAAATAACTTTTAAGGATGTCAAGAAATTTGAAACAAAAATATTTTAAGATAGACTCTTGGAGAAGAACAATTTGTTTGGCACTTATTTTAAATATTTATTTCAAAATATGCAGAGGTTGTACACTCCTTGATAATTTATCAATCTGTTAAAAGACAAGCGAAATGACAGAGACTTCGCACCGAAACAGTGCAGGACACTGTAACAGCGCTTGACTCTATCAAGTTCTTAAAAAACCTACCATAAAACGAGAAATTATCCTTGACAGTTGCTGAGACAAGTTGTCACTAATTTATTATGCTTTCTAAGACAGATTGTCTCTCGGTGGATGAGGATCAACTCACTGGAGGTTTCAAATACGGTCGTTTGGGAGGCGGAGTTGGGGGTGGTACACTGTCTGCAACTAGCGAATCTTCGACAGGCTCTGGTGGTGGTGGCTGAAATAAAAGTACAATAATTATTTCACTTTATGAAAAAGGTGAACTCTGAATGTCACGTTTCTACAGCAAATAATAAAACTGAACTTAGTATCCAGAAAACCACTGTTTGGAAATTCATGAGGGATAAAGTTTTTAAAAGATATTGTACGATACGATAAGAAAAGAAGGTATTTGTTAATAAGGATCTGGTAAAGATTGTAGCAAAGAGTGATAGAAAACAACAATTTATAAAATTGTTTCTGATAGAAGTTTGGCTTGGACCTGATAGTGTGAGCGTTGCAACCAGAAAAAGGTTCTTTGGTGCAACAGTGTTTTGTTTTGCACTAGCCAGACGGTAGTTTTTGGTAAAAAAAACATTTATGTTGATGGACACAGAACAGAAATTTTCAATTGAGAGGTGAATTACATTTCTGAAACAACATAATATTTTCATACCTTTGCTTTGACGGGAGTAGAGTGTTTTGGAGCAGGTACATGCTTGTATGTGTCAGATCCGTCAGAAATATCAGGTAAGTTGCAATAGTCCGCCTCTCGCAGTTTCACTGGTAACGGCGGAGGCACAGAATCTTCTTCACTTGCAGTGGAGTCTGTTGTTGCTGGAGAAAAATTATAAACATAACCATGAATGATAAATACTAAATAAATGGTTCGCTACATCACTGATTATTTGTTACATTTTACTTTTTTTGCTGATTATAAATCCTTGTTATTGCACAAAACTCTCGGTGACTTCCTTCTCGCTTTCAAGAATATTTTCTGAAAATTTGGCACAAAAATCTTCGGCTTAATAAAGCAGAGGTGGAAATCATGCTGTACGACGATTGAGATGTAAATTTTCATAATCTCACCATTTATAAGTATGAAAAATTTCAAAACTAGCTGATGTTATTTTTACAGATAATTAGCATTAAAAGGCTGCAGAGAGAACCTACCAAGTGGCATAATCTCACTCAATGCTGATGCTTATTTTAGTATTGACCTCTGCTCATCAGCCATTTTTTGGTTCTCCACATCAAAATTAACAGACGGAGCCAAAAATGCCTGTTGTAATGTGCATTATTGTAAAACTCATTTCAGAATATCAATTATCAGTGAGAAAGTGAAAGTAATCCTAATTTATCCAGATAAAAACACAACTTACCAATAGAGTCTCTATTTGAGCCGTTATTTAATGACACACTAGATATAGAGTTGATTTTAAACTGTCCGCTGAGGGGTCTACTTAACCTTTTTTCCTTCTCTACTTCAGATCTGAGTGGCCGTTTTGATGTTAACTGAAAAAACGAAAGATAGGATTTGAAAAAATTATATAATTGAATACAATACAGTTGAACTTTTGATTTATCAAATTAAGATGTAACGGATTTTGCAATTTAACAGATCAATCCTCCTGTTCTTTCAAGGAAGGACAAAAGGAAGTTAAAATTGTTCAACAATTGAGGGGCTTAGAAGACAAGGTGCATAAGTGCAGTTTTTGAAAAAATTGAGATATTAAAGATTTGAAGTAAAACTAGTCTTAACACATATCATACGAAAAATTCGCTCCCAAATTCCAATTTTAAAGCATCAAAAAGTCAGTTCGAACTCTCTTTCCGCCATAAGGATCCATGTAATTTCAAAACTTCGAACATGTATTTCTCAAAATAGGAAAAAGTGCACTTATTGTGCTCCACACCTTGTCCTCCAAGCCCCTCAGTTATGGATTGAAATCGTAACTCGCTTTGATTTAACAGATTGTATTATTTGGTATTTTGTTTTTTTTATCATAGCCCCAATTATACAATTATGCAGTTAAATGAAAGACACTCATGCCATAGCTAGTCCTTACATACCACAGTAAGATTAAGGGTTTCAAAAAATATGCACCCTTGCTTTAACCAAGGTCAATGATCACACGAGAGGAAAAACTTTGAGCAAAAGAAAAGGCTTCTCTTGATATTTTTTCAAAGTAACTTTCAAATTGCAGTTTTTGTCGTTTCTCCTAAAAATCTGCTGAATAGTAGTAGATAGTATAGATTTTGCTATTTAACAGACTGACTAATCTGTCCTGTGACGATTTGACGAGTCAAGGCTCTACTGTACTTCAACTGGACTGAGTTAAGCAGAAAGGTACCAACCCACATTTTGGAAAAAATTGAGTTATGAGTGGTTTTGAACTCAACCACTGCTCTACTATCTATCGCCAAAAATTCAAGGTTTTTGTCGGAGCAAATTTTGCAGAAATTGAGCTTGAAGTTTATCTTTTACATTGAATCTTCTGCAGGAGCCAAACTTTAAACCTCTTTTTCTCGGTTTGATCCCGATGTGGCTTGGTTCCTTTCTGTTTAACTCCGTCCAACTAAGCAGCTTAATCAGAATCAACTGAAAAATACTTTGCAGTCTGTTTAGTACTATCAAATATGAGCTTTCAATGATATAAGTACCGCACATAGAGCAAAGTTGGAAGGTATTAAAAATAGCCCAGGGTTAAGAAATTTTATTTTAAAAAAAGTAAATCTTAGTCATTTTGACTGAACCTCACTTTAGCATATGCTTTGAGAAAAATTTAACATCTGAGGCTTATTTTTTTTCGGCTTGAAATTAGATTTGGAAGTTCATACGCTTCCATGTACTTTTCAAACTTTTAGAAAAAATGTCTCAAAATTACAAAAAAAAGACTGAACTCTTAAGGACAGTGCACAGGAAATTCAGACAAGCTCCTGGACAGTGGATGATCCAATTGATTTACCACAAACAATAAAAGGTAATGCTCCAGAAAAAGGCAATACAGGGTGTCTACTAAAACAGGCTGGCCACAACAGCCAATCAGTACTTTTACAGTACTTTTTCAGTACATTCCCAAAAAATTCGGTACCTCCTCAATAGAAATATTCAGTCCTTACATTAATAAGGTACATCAAATTGACAAAATTCGAAAAATTTAAAAAATTTGAATATCCTGCTCAAATAGCGACAAAAATGACAAAAAAAATGAAAAAATTCCGGACTTTCTTGTGGAATTTCCGCATTTTTTCAGTACTTCCGGACCGCCCTTTTAAAAATCAGTACTATTTCCGGACTTTCTAGAAATTCCAGGCTTGTAGACACCCTGCAATAGAAGAATTTGACTTTCAAATTAATTTTTCACACCTTACTCATTAGTAAAATAAAAAATTTCAATGTAAATAAATAAATTTCAGAGATCTGGGAAAATCAACTTTTCTTGAAAGATGAAAACTTTTGCAGTTTTCCATTTCCACTAAAAAATTTCACAAAAAGGAAATAAGGTTCCTAATACCTCTTGTCTGAGCTCATAGACAGGAGAGCTGAAATTTGAGGATGCCACAGAAACAGCATCTGTGTCTATGTTGCTTGTGTACCACTGCGTGCTACTCGACTGCTGACTGTTTATTGACGATAAGGAGTCCCTTTCCAAAGAAACTTTACTCGTCGTTCGATTCCGCCTCATCTTCTTTTCTTTCTTTTCCTTTTTACCTGCAAATTTAGAGAAAAAATAACATAAATTGTTGCTGAAAGTAGAGGTCCAAAACTCTTGTGTGCATAGAAGCACGCACCGGACAGCAGTGTTTGAATCTTACCCAGAAATTGAGGGACTTGCTCGATTGATATTAAAGGACCTTCACGACTTTTTGTGGGCCAATTTTTTTTTCTTACAAAATTTATGGTTAGAACTGGATGTCTCAGTACTTAGAATCAGACTCTTTCTCACTGATTAGACACAAATAAAGGGTGGTGACAGGGGGTTTTAGAGGAAATGAGGGAGTGCCAACTCTCTAAGGGCTTAGGGAGGATACGGGGCTTTGGCGGCTAGGTGTTACAGAGCACCTGAAAGCGGCTCTTACGTATGTATCACACATTTTCATAACTTTCCGTTACCCAATTAAGTCCTTTCTCATGAGGCCCTAATAGATTTTAGTATTAATAAAAAAATGTGTGAACCTTTCTACTGTGCCGTCTAAGTTGTTTCTAGCCCATTTTCCTTTTGACTGCAGCCATCTATGGCTGAAAAGTTTGAAATTTGCTACTTTAAAGATTTTTTGAGGCACTAATAATACTTTCAGTGCTTTCTTAGGCCCTTTATTAATATGTATACTTTTAAGAGATTGTTTGTTCCACTTTAACGATGCATGAATTACATAGAAGAACAAAGATTTTACCTAAAGTTGCATATTTATCAGTTTTAGATGGAGACGAATTTGCTAAAACTGGACTAGTGAAGAGTGCTATGCTTGAACTAAGAGAGTTAGCTGAGATTAGAGATGGTTTTGATTGTGATGACTGGTTCAGACTGAAACAAGTAGCATAGAATTATTGCATCTAAAAACACTAATTTCGTTGGTTGTACAAGATTCCTTCTACATGATAAACATAAAACACGATTATGTAGATGAATCATAATATTTAAGGTTTATTGATGGTACAAAATTTTCGCAAAAAAGTCATTTGTCAGGGACTGAATCTGTTCAATACCCTTGCTGCCGAAAAATGCAGAACGTTGACACCTAATTGTCACAAACTTTCGGCCTCTTAACATAAGCCGCCATTAATTGCAGCCCAAAAAAGATTATCTTAAATCAACTTACAATCTCCACTTGACATCATTGATTTTCACAATATGATGTCTACTGGGTCTCATTCATAAACCTAACTAGGTATGAGAAAATGGGGCTTTTTTTTGGCAAGTAGTTTTCAACCATTGGCCTAAATAAAGAATGATCTTCTCAAGTTGCTCATGATAAAATCGGTAAAATTTAAAAAACTCAAAAGTAAAGTACTTGTAGTAACTTCATGTACAGAAAATTTTGGGTTTTTTAAATTTTAGCGCTTTTACTCTTAATTTACAAAAACATTACCACTTTATGAGAAATTTTGACTTCTTCCTGGACTGAATATTTTATAACATGACAGTTCTAACAATTTTACTAAGTTTAACGAGGAGGCATAGAGTCACGTCAAGTTTGAACCAAGAAAAGAGGTTCGAAGTTTAATTCTTTCATAAGACTTTAAGTTGAGGACCAAGTTCAATGACTATTTTCATGTTCAAAATATTATTTCTCGACTTTGTAAAACTAGGTTTAATATTTCTGTGAATGACGATTATGATAAGTAACTTACTCTGCAGAGCTAGTACTATTTAGAGAATGCCTATTTTCACTGTTCACACTGTTTTTCCCACCAGTGTTGTGTCTACGTAACTTATGTCCATCGAATTTAATATCACAGGTCTGAAAAAAACATCAAAATCAAATTAGAACATTATGAGGGGCATTATTGCACACACAAATAAAAAATGAGAGGTCCAACAACACTCAATGAATTTGTTACACTCAACATTGTCTGAAATAATGTGTTTGTTTGGTAAAAAAAACATTATAATCAAATTAGAACATTATGAGGGGCATTATTGCACACACAAATAAAATATGAGAGATCCAACACCGCTCATTGAAGTTGTTAAATCGAACATTGTCTGAAATAATTTGTTTCGTTAGATTTAACAGATAGGCTTTTCTGGTGAATTAGATCGACTTTGGACGGTGTTNGGGGGGGGGGGGGGGGGGCAGTAAGAGAACTCACAAATTTTTCCAAACTAAACATATGGTACACTTGCAGTAAGAGAGATCATCATTTTACATTGAATGCTGACAGGCAAATAAAAGACCACTTACTTTTTTCCCATAAGTCTGCTCGATATGAATTTTCATATCGTTGAAACATTGTTCTAGTCTTTGGTGGAATGGTTGCAACGAGCTGGGAGCGCGCTGGCCATGAATTCTAACTCCTACATCCAGTAATGGAATCTGACAGGCCATTAGGTCCTTCAATTTGGATATCAACGGAGCATCTTCAGGATGTGCATTCATATATTCAGGAATGAAAAATGCCTGGAAAAAAAGACAAAATTATCACGATATCTGGATTTAGAGAGAAGGAAAAAGGGTACAGAGGATCTATAGATGAAAAAATGACTTCTTCATTCTTAATCTTCCTCTGCAACAGTGCAAGTTACTTTCAATAAACACTTTCAATTCATTGAGTATCTTGATTATTTCTAATGCCTCCAAAAACTTTTTGGCTAATTAACCAACTACAAGCAACATTTCTCTACAAAATGTTAATTTTTAGGGCAGTCAATTGCGCGTTCTTTTGAAGTAAAATCACGGTGCAATCAGTGTGAAAGAATTTTCAATTTTGGCTAACAAAAATCTGGATACTATCAATAAGGAGGAAGAGATCTCCAGATAAGAAATGAAGTGACACATTTTGCGCCAGTAAAAAACAAGCAAATCAGATATATACCTTTTCGTAATTATTGACTCCACCCATGACGGCAGCATCTACAATACCATTGAGTTTCATGCTAAGGGTATTAATTGGCATTGATGGGTCAGTAGTATGTGCTAAAACTAAATCTCTCAGAGATCTGAAACAAAATTAAAAATTTTTATTACCAAATATGGTTGTTGCAAGATCCAGGCATTGCCCTGAAAAATGGGTGTGTCTGAAGTAAATTTTCCGAACTTAAAGAGCTCAAGACTTTTTTTTTTACTGAAAAAAAACGAGTCTGAAAGTCGAAGCTACAGAAAGGAATTTTTTTGTTGACCTGAAAATAATGACGTTACGTGAGGCGAAAATCTGTGGTTTCGACCACCTTGAATCCAATGCAACAAAGCTGCAGTGCAATTTTAATCACTAATGCAACAGATTTTATTGGATAAAAAAACGAAAAAAATATTCGCTTCAAACAATAATAATATTGCGAGCACAGTTGGGATACATAATCTCTTATTACAATTGCAATCTAGAAGCAAATAAATTAACAAAAAAACACAAATGGAAGGATAAACCGCAGTCAACTCTTCTTATAACATCGAAAATTCTGTTATGGTAAAATTTATCATTCTTATCTGAAAACAGATGAATGGATTCTCATTTCTCTACCCTACGACCCCGTTGATTCACTTCATTCATTGTTACTTTCACTGGTGATTTCTCTACTTGACAAGAGGACCTTGAATCAAATAATACAAACTTGTTGGCATGTTCCATCGTTTCTATTGCGTTTCGCAAAGGACTGATGTGGAAAGTGTCAGTTGACGTTACTGGAAACCATCGCAAAATTCCTGGAAGTGGATAGCTGGTTACCAGAACCGTCCTTTCAAGCCACAGACTAGCAAATTCATTGACGTTACTGGAGTCACCACCAGAGCTATTAGAGCCACTGCTTGTGTTATCCTGGAGTGCCGTGTCAACACGATGGAATGGTCTCGAAAAGTGGAATTTTTGGACATTGTTTACCCTGCAATTAAAATTTAATTCAGTAAGAGTCAAAGGACAAGAAAAACAAAGTTAGAAGAAGCCAAACGCTGTGAAAGGATAAAATAGATAGAGTTCTTCAAAATATTAGATCTCAAATGAATAAAGAGTTTTTTATGAGAAGAGGAATCTTTTAAAATACGTTAAATAGAGCTTGAGCTAAAATTTTAAGATGCTTGTTGTCTTCAAATCTATTTAGACGTTCCTTATTCACACTAAAATCTTCGCTCAAGGTACTCAAGAGATTAAAACTAAGGTTTAAGCTGAAGTCAGAACTATTCATGTGATGACAAATAACGAATATATTGCAAAAACAGTGAATTTTTGCTTGAGTGTCCGACATAATATTGTAAATGATGCTGTTTTTGTATTTTGGTGTCACAAACATTAAAATATTGGTGCAGAAGTGGATGAACCAATGTTGCCACTGCGTATGTAAAGAAGTACCTGTAATATCGGAGAATTTGTTCACTGATATGTTTTCCAGACAGCCGAAGCTTTCTTTCGTCCATCACAGGATCTACCTTGTTGATTTGTACATCTAAAAAACGAGTTAAGGAATAATACTGGCTGGATTAAGAATAATTCAAGAAATTTTAAGTTATGCATGTTCCTTAGCTTTTTCACTTATCGTGGGCCATTTGAAATCCTCCTTTTGTTTCTTGTAATTTGTTTTTTTTTTTTTTTTTTTTTTTTTTTTTTTTTTGAACAATCCAAGTTTCTTGGGCTCAACAATACTAGAGAAACATCTAGAGGTTAAAATTTATTGCTTTTGTCCTGACTTTTTTTCCTATGCGAGGAGAGGAAATGCAAGCACACACAACCACACCATGATCATTAAAAAGTTATTAGAAACAACGGATGAAAAATGTATCGCTCTACCAATGCTGAGCAAACCTACATTTCCAGACGTTGACAGTAAGATAACGAACAAGTTGTGAACTAATATGATTAATCTGCATAGCAACACTTAGGTACATTTTGGCCCTCCTCTCACGTAAGGGTGTATCTCAATTTCCACAGAGAGCCCTGTTCTCCATTGGATTCTACGCTTTTCGGGGCTTATGTGGAAATAGAGATACGTCTTTGCGTCAGAGGAAAGATGATTTAATAGTATCCACACAGGATAAAATAACATTAATCTCTTGAAAAACTCGAGTTATGGGTGTGTGAAATAATGTACCAAAATCTCAATAAATAGATTCATTCTTATTCCCACAGAAATCAAAATTCAAAGTAAAAATTCTGAAACACTGCTACTTAGTTACATTCAGTTCACTGAATGACATATCGACCCTGTAAGTCCGCAAACACAAATCTCGTATGTGGTGTCTGGAAATCTCCGCCTCTGTTATTTTTTTGAAGGAGAAAAAATTGCCATCATTCCTTGAAGTTTATACAGAATTTTCTTCACCCAGAGAAGAAAAATCGCGGCAGGTTTAAAGAATTGCCGTTCAGTAGCTTTCCGTTTGAAAAATAGAGTATGACAGGAAATTTGCGACGTCGCAAACCGAGTTATGTGATTGCCGACTTACACCGTCAATATACAAAAAAATCATAAGAAAAAGGATACATTGATTATTTGATTCGGTGATCTCCTCCCCCGGAGGCGTCAACTTATTCAGTAACTCAGCGTTTGGGAGCTGGTTCAGAGTTCGACTGCTGAAATCACTCAGGCGCTCATACTCCTTCCCGCGGTAAACAAACACTTTGTTCTGCAGGAAAACCGGAAACCCTCTCCCGTAGTACGCGACTCGGAAGTATTCTGGCTCAGGCCTGAGCTGCTTCATGATATTATCGTAGAACTGTGACATGCGGCGCAATAAGGTCGAGAGCTGGAAATAATCGTAGGTTTCATCTTCATACTGCTGGACCAGCTCTTTGCAGATGCTGAGAGCGCATTCCCACATTTTACCCTTGTCGAAGTAGATGATCATGTCTCGATAGATGGCATCTTTCAGCTGGCGGTGCGTCTGGCAGAGTGGGTACTTGTTTGACTTGAGAAGCGGTGGGAGCATTGAGTCGGACCAGCTCAGGAGTTTGGAGTGCAGACGCAGCGTGTAAGCTGCTTCTGTGTAATTGTCACACTCCAAGTGGAGATCACAGAGCTTGTTCACATACCTGAGAGGAAAAGAAGGCAGCATAATAGTTACAATGATGTTAATATTAACTTAAAGACCCATCAGTCCTATAATTTAGATGCAAACAAGTAGTTTATGCTAAAAAATTGGACATTTTTTTGAGACATCGGGTAATTTGAGCTAAAATTCCCACCAGACTGCATAAAAATGAGTAAATCAAATATGCAATAAATAAAAGATATGGTAAATTGAGTTATCTAGTAAATTAAAAAATATGGTGGATTAACTAATCTGGTGACCAAAAACCCAATAAACAGCAAAGAATTTAACAGTAATCTTCTGATAAGATGGCAGGGACAAGGTAAAAAATGTGATAAATGGACCACTAGACAAAAAACGAGGTTAAGAATTCTGATACATGTTTCTTAACCAAAATTTCACATGGAGCACGATTTGTGCAATGAAAATTACTGATTAGGACTCCTAACCAAAATATTTCATGTTTCTTGACTCGGGAATTCAAACCACCCGCTTGTAAAAACACAATGGTCTACTCGAGTCAGATCGCACTCTAAACGTTACCGTAAAAGTCTCAGCGGTAAGAAAGGATGCCAATCTTGATTCCGGTGCTTTGGCTTACCTCTTGCATGTTGTTAACACTTTGAACGACACGAGACGAATAAGGAACATTGTTTGATTAAAATACCTGCCACAACTGTTGTAGTGAGCGATTTGACTCACGTAGAGTATTGTTTCTTGTGACCAGGCGATTCAAATTTCCCGTAACCAATGTAAAATAAGAAAGTTAGTATCTAAAATGGGAGTAAATTTCAGTAATTTTTGATGCAAGAATCATGTTCTACGTGAAATTCAGGTTAAGAAACATGTATCAGAATGTTTTTTAAATTCGTACCTTGTCTAGTGGTCCATTGCCGATCCAGTAAACTGGGCTACCACTGGGATTCTGAGCTTCTGTAAATTAAAATTGTTGAAACAGAAACGATGCAGACGAATAGAAAGCCTGAGAGGTGAGGCAGGGAAAGTGGTCGCTTTTAAATAATCTTCGAGAAAAGTTGAAAGATACTAAAAAGTTCTGCCTCATATTTTTCACTTATAGCTTCATTCCTGAAGTCATTCTTGAATCCCTATTACTTTGATGGCTACACAATTTATAACTCACCTAATGTACATTTCTTTTCGATTAATTTCACTGTAGAAGTCCAACAGATTGACCGTACAGCTCATTCGATTCTCCTTGTTTTCATCGTTGATGATACAACGATATTCCAGCAACCGCTCCATTAACCTCGTCACTGTCTTGACAAAACGAGTGCCCAGATCTCGCATAGTCGAATGGTTTTTACAGAGGTCCATCATGATGAAATAGAACAAGTCCTTGTACTGCTCATCTCCCCGTCCACCTTCCACCAGGTTGTCCAGCTTGGCGATCATCTCGTTTTCAAACTCGTTGAAGTTGGCCTTGATATGCGTTGAGTCCTTCTTCGAGTCGAGGAGTCCATCACGGTTTGAGTAGAACTCGCACTGCATCATGTCAAAAAAGATGGGGATTGTAGCGCGGCGCAGTTCTGCTTCGGGGATCAGTGTCATTTCCAGGAATGACCCAACCAGACCGGGCACAAATTGTACTTTGTTTTGACCTGTGGTAAGATGTTAAAAATAGTTGTTAGTTTTTAGTAATTGGAGAGCTAGAAGAAGGAAACATTTTAAACTCTTGACAGGATACAGTATTCCAGACATGGTACATTTTTAAGCTAAGAAAGGGAATAGTCTTTAGCAGTAAAGCATTTTGATTTTGTACCATTCAAATTATTGTGGATTCCACATAGCTGGTTCTTTGAAGATCAAATGTACCCAGCACTTTTGGGGCAAAGTTCTGCCTTAACTAATGTCAATAGTCTGTTGCACGCAAGAGATTCAGCTGTGTGAATGGATTTTTAAGGGGTAAAATGGCATGAAAATCATGATGGCCACATTAAAAAAGTCTGAAATCAGTTCCTAAAAGCGCAATATGCGTAATTTGGAACACACTTTTTTGAAAGTCCCGTGTCTAGGGGCAGTTTTCAGTCACTGTATCTGGAAACAAGCGACGGCAACTCGTGTCAACTTCCGGCGACTTGCAGTTATTGAAAACTGACAATTCTAAACATGATATTTTTCAACAAATCATGCAGTCTATTTGTACTGCTTTACGTCTTGCAGGCAACAGACCCACTAGTGCTACAGCAATATGGCGCAATTTGACAGGAAAAAAACAGAGCCTAGAGCAGAAATGTACTGTATAGCTTCGGCCATTAAGTGGCAGGCATACTGTAGAAAAAAATTGAGTGGTCAACTTATGAAACTTCTGGAATATACGTACCGAGATTAAACCACATCGAGCGAATTTCAAAACCTGTTTCTCTTCGCATATCTTTATATCGTGAGATTATGCGCCATCGTTTATTCGCAGAGAATGTCTCCAACTGGAGATAAGGTTGTGTTAAAAATGCAACAGCACAATGGAAGAAATTGTTCCAGGCTTGGTGTTCAAAATTGACCGAGAAGTAATCTCTGATTGTGTGAGAGAAATATCGTAGAGACTTCAGGATAATACTGGAAAAGAGATAAAAATCAGATCAATGGATGGAGTAGGGAACTGATCTATTTATGAGATATCTAAATGTAAAAACTGCTCCAGAATTTAGAGTGGCTGTTTTCACTATTAGTGGAAAACTGTGTTTAGTCCAAAGTGTTTAGATTGTTAATTTTCATTTTATTTCTTTTTTTCTGAGCCTTGTCATAATTTTTTAAAGCCTGATGAAATATTAGCGGGTTACGTACAAAAAATATCAACTCCAGATAGGAGTAATACCGAAAAGGTAATAACAAGCACTTTTAAAATACTAAAGGGCTACACCCCCTGACTGCTTTGCAGTCCAACCTTCTGAAGCGCCTCATGCCTCACAAGTTACTTTTATGACTCTATATTACGGAGTAAGATTAGAATTAGAAAACTTCTCAGACAAACCTGTTTTGCAACATAATCATTTCACACCAATCTCGGGGATAGACTGGCCTTGAGACTAGATCTTTGAAGACAAGGAGGATTTCCATTAGAAAATCTAGCATATCTATCCTTGTGACAAAATGCTTTATATAGATGTCAAAATGGTCCGCAGACATTTGTCTGAACACAGATAGCATTATTGCAACAAGGTTTCCCTGAAAAATCAAAGCAAGAAAAAAAATTAGTATTGATCTTTCCCAGAGGTGCTGCGAATGACGTCACACATCACGTTTTCCTGGGTTATCTGATATTTTATACTTGCATTGCGAAAATGGAGAATGGAATGCGAACTAGATGATAATGGAGATGTTGCATGTGTGAGGAATTTGCGATTTGACGGTTGATTCTTACGTAAAAGTTCGCGAGAAACACGATGGTGCCACTGGTTTTCTCTTAAATCAGCTCCCAAGCTCAAAAAAAGCTCTCAAGTTGAGGCCAAAATGGCCGGGGATATCCCATGCTATCCTGAGAGTCCACCTCTACATCAAGACAAACTCTCTATGCAAAGATAGGGAGCAAATACATTGACAGGGCTGCCACTTTATTTGAGGACTCCAAAATTGAAAACACAGCAGCCCTGCTAATGTACTTGCTCCCTATCTTTGCATGGCGAGTTTGTCTTGATGTAGAGGTGGACTCTCAAGATAGCGTGGGATATCCTCTTCATTTTGGCCTCAACTTGAGAGCTTTTCTTGAGCTTGGGAGTTGATTTCAAAGAAAACCAGTGGCACCATCGTGCTTCTCGCGAACTTTTACGTAAGAATCAACAGTCAAATCGCAAATTCCTCACACATGCAACATCTCCATTGTTTTTTCCATTAGAGTTTGTTGTGAATTTTCTTTACAACAAGAGGATAATTCCATGTAATTTTCAATACGAAACATACACTCAATAATGAAACGAAATAAGTTGTTGGATAAAATTTCAAAACGTTGCAATTCAATGAGACCTCTCTGGATTTGCCTATTTAATTCAGAAGTACGTTTAGTCCAGGAATTATATGAAAGTTGAGGGAAAAAATGATTAAAATCAATATTATTGTTTTTAACTTAACTGTAAATATCAATAATCAAACTCATTTGTGTTGTGCGAATAACCTAATTGCTGGGAATAAATGAAATTTTATTTGCAATATTACCGCTAAATGACCACATTAGGTTACACTCTGGATTTGATTTTGTGCCTTCATTTGGACCGGATTTAACAAGAAAACACAAAGTCGCATCAAGTTGGAACAGAAAAGTAGAGATTTGATGTATTTTCAAGCACAAAATATTTCTCCTGGACTTTGGAATTTTGACAGGGGGAAATTTACAACTAGTTGAATTCAGAACCACCTTCAACTCATTTTTTCCGAAATGCAACTAGGTGCTATTCTGTTAAACCTGGTCTATTTGGATTGCATTTTGCAGTAAAGAACCACTATCTCTAGCTTTCCAATAAAAGCACATATCTGCATAGGGAAACCAATAGCATGTGCCTTGTTTCTAAAATTGGCCAGAAATAGTGGTTTCTTATTGCAAAATGTGATCCATTGAATCTTCATATTTTACCACTATTATATCACAGTTAAAGTTTTTCATTGTAAAAATTTTTACAACTGCATCAAGCTATACTCTTTTTTTGAAAGTTCAGAATTACTAAGGTTTTTCAATTTTCAGAATTGAAGGAAAAAAGGAAAAATGAAAGTTGTGCGAACAAGTTACTTACAACCATGGGTGTTTCCCTGTCAAGAGCAATACTCGTTTGAATGACTGTCCGAAGAATACTCAGCATTATTTCTCGAATATCGTTGGCTGTTGAGACAGACTCCAATTTGAACAATAAGTTCATGATATCGCTCAGAATTTTGACACACAGCTCAAGCTAGAGAAAAAGCAAGCAACAATTAAAATTATGAACAAGTTATTTTTCAAACATAGGCTGATTCTGAAAAAAAATAAAAAAATGAATGCGCCACTTGTTACTTCAAAAAAGAACTGAACTATTGAGGGATCATCTTTTCAAGTCGGTCTATAATTGCCTCTACCAACTTTCTACAAGAAAAGAAGAAAGGAAAAAAAAACCTTTTTGCACCCAGCTACACTGGAAAAACGCCGTACGTACATTCGAGAGTTGCCAAATTTCCTTCAATAAATTGTTCATTTTTTGAGGGAGTTATGAATATTTTCTCTCGAAATTTTCAGACAACTTAGATCTAATTGCGAATGAAATTCACTAAAAAATTGGAGGACAAATATTCACAAATTTCCCTGAAAATTCGTACTTCAACAGAGAAAATTTGGCAACACATGATGGCTCATACTGTGTTCTTCCTTAGCATCGCAGTACAGCTTGGCTAAAATAATTTATGGTACAGCACATTACTTTGTAAGCCTAATCTGACAGACACCTCAGTCTGAGAAACTTCAGTAAATGACAATGATCTAACATCCCAAATCGAAGAAATTCAGAGTACCTTTCAATCATTACAATAACCCTCTGGTTGGTTTTAGAAGGCTTGCCAACAACTAAAAAGCCACCCCTTGAAGTCGGTAAGTAAAGCCAAACTCAGTAGTTGTAAAACTTTATTATGCACAAGGAAACTCAAATTCTATTTATCTTTAAAAAAATTTAAAGTAACCAAAAAATAACGAAGGATTTTGCAGTTTCATTTGCTGAGATCGATTCTAGGTAAAAGGGTCATTTATAAATGATGTAAAACACTCATTGGAATTTTTTATCCACCCCTTCCTACTCCCTTTACAATTTTGTTACAGGCATAAGGCAACCCCAAAAATACCATTTAACTAATAATGGCATCCCTCCCCAAATATTTATAAGATGTTCCACTAAATAAGGCTTGAAACCTTTGTTTCCTCTCGAAACTGCGAATTCAATTTAAACCTTCTTCTTCGTGGGTTATTCTAAAATTCATCCCCACCCCTCATCGCCCAGTTTCATTTTAAAATGTATGACTAAATTCAAAATAGACAAGTATGACAACCAAAGCAGGTCTCATATAATATAATAAAGTAACAACAGTAAATTACATATAGGATGTACAGGATAAGTTTTAGTACGAAAAATATACAGAGGATAGATAAGTGCAAGGTACTACTTTTTTACCTGAAAGATTAAAAAAAGGTAAGTCAAAGTAACTAAAAGAGGTTTCAACCTATGACAAAAACAAGTGAGAATTCATTAGAATTTAAAGCAGAAACTAAACCAGATGAAAGACTACGGAGGCATAACTGTTAACTACACGAGCAAATTAAAGATCTAGAGGGCAAAAATGTATAGCCTTCACCAATTCATGACAGATCTACAGGGGTTGGAATGGAAGTGTTATGGTGGAGAGATATTGATAAGGACTGTTCTGAAATTATTCTTCTGGAACTGAGCGGTTCCTGTGGGTATTATTGGTTTAATGAAAATATACCATGCAAAAAAAGATTATTCGGATAGCACCTCCTATGATATTTTTTAGAGAGCTGCCAAAACAAAATGAAAATCTAAATTTGAATACAGACATAATAGAAAATACGTTCTCTTGGAACACCAAGACTTCTTTTACGCTAAGCGCATTATCTAAAGACATTGGTATTTTGTATGATATCCAAGAGTGCGTACAGCCTGTTATGGACTACAAGTTGCTAGGTATGAAAGAGTAAGGATGACTAAAAACCTTACATTTTTGTGTGAAATAGACCTACCGCGTGACAATTTAGTGAAAAAGCAACCATGTTAACAGGAGCTATAGTTGTAACATCTGCGTAAGCTACCATATACTATACAGGAGTCTAAAATCAATGCTTGTTGAAATTCAGGGGGGTCAGAAATCAGTCCTTACCAATACCACTCCTTCTGAATTCTTAATCATATCCAAAGCCTTACCAATTTTCTGCAGGTTCTGAGATGTTTTCTATGAGAACAAAAGAAACAAATGGGAAAATGGGTACTCTTGACAGAAAAAGACACAACATAAGCCACAGGTGCATTGACGAACAATGAAGCACTTGGAGAGACTCAATTCGTTTCATCTTCCTTCCACATTTTAAAAAACCTAAGTTTCTGAGATAATTTCAAAACTAACAGATTTTGAAGCTTTAAATGAGTGGTAACACCTTCATGAGAGTCAAATTTCGCTGCTATAAAAGGACAAAAACACTTCCGTTACATTAACAGGATTTAGAGGATTCTGCATTGATCCTGGAATGAAAAAATACAGAAAATAAAGCTTCAGATCTTCCAGAGCCGTTGGTACTTACTTCTTCGTGTAAATCCTTCACACTATCACAGGTTGCCGTTTTGTACCCGATCTCTCCCAACACCTTGGCGATCTTTGCCACAGATTTCGTTTTATTGCGAAACTCAATACTGCTCCTTGCCTAAAAGAGCCAATGGTCAGAACAGATGGTTTGATGAATTTGAACTTAGTTTGAAGGGAACAGCACACTAACGTGCAGCCCTAGTTTAGAAGCATAAAGCTTTGGTTTACTTTTGGTGTTGAAACTTTCCTTTCTAGATTTTTTGCTGTACAGAATAAAATGTCATATGAATCAATTCCAGGGGACCAGCATATTAAATTAAAAACCAAGTCTTCTCCGAAGCACTAAGGCCTGAAATCAATATTTTCCGGATGGGATGAAAAATAAGCAATGAAACAACTTAGCCCGACTGAAAAGTCCAAAAATGTCTATTGAAAAGTTGTTGTTGTGATAAAAATAAAAGAGCCGATTCATTTTTTGAGTTCCATACTAAGAACACAAAAAGGACGTTAATTTGAGGCATGATTTATTTTTTGGCGTATTGAGAGATTCATTTAAATCGATAAAAATGTTGGAGCTTAACAAGCTCTGACAAATTCCAGGAATGGTAACGGTTTTGCTTTAAGTCTGGTCTTAAACATAAAACGTTTTACATTTAGCCGAGTTAAAATTACACACAACATAGAATGTCTGAGAGCTAATGATAAAAAAGTATCCTGAGAATATTCTCAATAGTTTTGATTGAAATAATTCCCCATTTTTCATTGAGAACAAAGATGATAAATTTTGATGGATAAAAGGAAAAGAATTTCCGGACTAATACTGTAAGGTACCAATTTTTTCCCACAAAAAACATGGTATCGCACGTCCAGTGGTCTTCGTGTATTATGTATTCTTATAATGCTACTGGACATAATCAAATTCTAGCGTTCAGGACTAAAATGATCTCCAAAACATCAGCTTTTGTAGTAGGTCGAAAATCATATTTTACCACTGATAAAACCAGGCTATATACTGATTCATGATGCTGACATCTCTACTTAACAAGACTAAAATCTATGCACAGAAGCGCAACAGCTATTCATTAATCACACTGACTGGCGTAACATTTAAATTGACGAAGCGAAGTCAAACGAACATTACAAACGAACACAGATTGGACAAAAATGAAGTGCTTTGACGAACAGTTGTGTCTTTGACTATGAAGGTGAACAAAAAGATGGTGTGAGCACTAATTAAGCTACTACTATATTCGTGAGTGAAGAACTTTTGCAGCAAACCAAATACATGCAGTTAAGAATTCGAAAAAAATAAATGACGAATGATGCTAACCTTCACATGCAAAAAGTCGGTTAGGGATACCTTCGGGTCATTCTGCAATGAGGCACCATTCCATGCAACGATACGCAGATGAAAAGAAAAACATGATTAGATTAGTAATGATGAAAATGGATTGAAATAATTGATGAGGTGAAAATCTCAAGGGAGTCTTAAAAATTTAACAAAGTTACACTTTTAATATGAATTTCATTGTTCGGGTAAATGGAAGATTGACAAAAACAACTCAAAATAACATTCGAGTGCCAGTTTTTTTTTCAACTCATTGTAGTATTTGAGGTTTTGTAATTTTTGATAAGTCTTCAGTGATTATGATGAAAACCAAATTCACTGAAAAAAAATTCACACTGCGAAAAAACAACCTCCGTATGTGAGCCAAACAGACATTGTTTCATGGATATAAATCAGAATCATCAACAGGAATTCTGCAATTTTTGTTCGCAAACACAAGTTTGTACACATGAGTCAGAAATTATAGTTCTTAATTGCAAAACGTAGTCCAAATAAAAGATTATTCTGTTCCTTTTAAACTTAAGCTATTTCACTTGAGCTATTTCTCTCTCTTTTTAAAAAATGTCATGATGAAAAGGGTGCCAATGAATTGAAATGCTTGATCTTATAAACGCATCATGCTTGCACATTCATAGGTAATTGAACTGATTTTCTTCTTAAGGGTCAAAGGGCCAAAACTTCGGATTTTGACTTTCCGTTTTAAAATGACCTAAATAAGCATTTTATATATCAGTTCTAAGCACTAAAGAAAGAATGCAGGCCAAACAGCAAAAGTTTTTCTGTTTTTCTTTAAACTTGGATTTTGACGCTTGGGCCCTTACAAAAAAAATCAGTTGAATTAGAAGGGGGACTCATTCTGTTCTTGTAACGGACAAAGCGCTAGTAAAAGTATGTCTCCAATGCTGTACGATAAACCGTTATGTGAGGTGAAAAGCTTAACTTGTAGGACTCAAATTAGCTGTAATGAGAATTATTCAAGGTATGAAAGTTCCTTGAATTTTTAGACGAACTTGGCTCGTTTTGTTTAGCTATCTAGAAAACAAAGAGTTTAAGCGCTAATATCTCAGTTCTGAAAATCTTGACTGGTTTGGAATTTGATAGTGATGAAAATAAAAATATTTATGATAGTAAAATTGTTAACAATAATTCTCTGTAGTGTTATTCATTATCTCTTCGGGGAAGAATGGATTTTTCCTGGCTAACCTTAGTAAGTCGCAAGAGTTTGCATGATTTTTGTTCACTCTACGACAATCATTCTCGGAAAATACTGATTAGCTAATTTGAATAAAAAGCAACGGTAGGAGCTTTCAAGCTATGGTAGGAGGAATTCAAATTTATGCAAACAATTTTTAAACTGCCATAACTTCCATTAGTTTTTCTTTATATAAGCTGATGTTTGTCTCGATCGATAGGTTTTTATAACTTCCTTCAAATGAAACCATGAAAGGTAGCATTGCTTTTTAGGTTATGGCACAGCATCAGTCTCTGTTTTTTTGGGATCATTGTTGCAAAATGAAAAGCATACATTTTGGTTTGTAACATTCTAATCTTCCAGTCATACAAATATTTTTTAAAAAGAATTATTTGATATCATTTCTTGAAAACTTCCATAAATTGTATTTCCTGTTTGAGGAATGATCCACAAAAATTTTAAACAAAGATTTATTGATTCTCCTTAAAAAAAATAAAAATAAAATAAGAGCAGAGCTTCAGAATAGAATTGATATGCACATTTTTCTGGCTATACAATGGACCGCTGGACAAGTTAAGAATTCAAGCACAATGATATATGTTTTTTTTTAATCAAAATATCGAATAGAAAACGATTTATGCAATAGAAATTATTGAAACTAACTCATGACTGCAATATTAACATTTTTCAATGTATAAATTAAAACTTTCTGTTCATACAAAATCATGATCTACTTGAGTTAAATCGCACACTAAATGTTACCATAGCATTCTCTGTGCTATGAAAAACCGGCGGGACAACCTCAATCTTGGCGCTTCAGCTCATCAGTCGCATGTTGTAAACACTTCGCAGATCAACGGGTGAGGGAGGCTGATTGCTTGATTAAGAGGTCAGCCAAAACTGTTGTAATGCGCCATTTGATTCAAGTATACTATGGGTTTTTTTTTTGTAAGCGAAAAAATCAAACCTTTCAAAAGCATTTTTACTAATAATGTTAATATCTTGTTAAAAGATCAATTTAAGTAATTTCTGCTGCACAAATTATATTCTCTGGGAAAGAGCCTCACCAAGTTTCACCTCTTTTTTTGGATACCCGAGTTGGTCCAAGACCAATCCACACAGGTCATTGCGCATCTTTTTGAAATCCACTTCCCCGCCCGACCCTAACTTGGCGGCACTCAATGCTACGTCACAATGGGTGCTCCCTTAAGAAATACATTGCAGGCACTCAATACTACGTCACTGCGCAGTAGAGTTCCAAAATTCGTCCTCGGGAATGACTGACCTGTGTGAATTGGTTTTGGAGTTGGTCAACAGGACAAGACTCAAATGAAAGCTTATGGTAAGGCAAACTTCCAGGCAAAGTTGTAACTTGAAGTGACACCTCGTTTAGGCTGTACAGCGTTGCCAATTTTTCATTTATATGTGCTAAAATCAAGGCCAATGAGGCCGATGTACTAATCTGTTTAAGTATGATGCACTGGACTATTAGTCCAGAATTCCTTGATTTTAGCACATAAAATGAAAAATTGACAACGCTGTACAGCCTAAACAAGGTGTCACTTCAAGTTGAAACTTTGCCTGGCAGTTTGCCTTGACATAAGCTTTCATTTGAGCCTTGTCCGGTTGACCAACTCGGGTATCCAAAAAGGGGCGAAAAAACACCCCTTTTTGGCAAAGCTCTTTCAAAGAGGAGACATTGATCAGAACACTTAGATTCATACTTTGTCTAGTGGTTCATTGATATGTTTTTGAGAACGATTATCAGATTTCAATCAGATTTGAAAGAAAAGCGCAAGCCTCAAATTTTCTGTTATTGAGCGTTCGATGCAGGAAACGCCAATTTCGTTCGCACGATTTCCACTCCTGTAAAATTGACAAAATGCAAATAGAACTCTCATGCTTGAAGCCATCCAACTTACTATCAGATTTTTGGTGTGCAGATAGAATGTATCTTGAATCTGAAAGTAGGATTGTTAGTTTCAAATCACCAAAACTTGAGACTAGAATGGTGTCCGCAAACCAAAGCATTTGCGCTCGGTGCGGAGAAAACTTACCTCATCGCGGGCTTCTAGCAATTCTTTTACTTTACTAGTAATGGTGGGTAAAAGGATCGCACGCGGCGAGGGGTCCAGAAATAAAGGACTGTGCACGAGATCGCTGATCGTCATCATTTTTTGCTTCGTCAAGCGACCTGACGGTACTTTATTGATCAGTTGCTTGAAGAAATCACTGCAAATATGATAAAAAAATATCAAGATTATACAACATTTGTGTGAAATTTTTTGGGCAAATGATACTTAATAAAATCAAATAATGCTGGTCTGTCTCTTTTTACGCACCCAGCAGAGGAAAACAGAAGATTTTTGCTTCTTTTTTTTGTCCTCGTCGTTTTTCTGATTTGTTGACTAGCCAGCAGGCTGATTGTTGCAATTGATAGACAAAGCTATAGACAAAGATGACAAAAGGGATCCTATTGGTGGTTACGATGGAAAAGGAGATAGGTAATAGACAGACTAACTAATGGCAACCCACAAGAGACCCCATGGCTAGTCCATCTTTTACCCCCTTAGTCTATAAGAACAACCCATTTCAACCAATACGATTGTTTCATACTCCCTACGTCTTCTTTGTCTATTGCTTTATCTATCCACTTCAACAATCAGCCCGCAGGACCTTTTATTTTTTTTCCACCTTGGAGAAGAGTATACATTGAACAAGTCAGGGTTTCTATAATTTTTTCATTTTCTTGTTTCCTGATTTTTTCTGACTTTTATCTTACTTTTTTAGCTTTTCCCTGACCTAAAAATGTCCAAATTCCTTGACTTTCCCTAATCTTCAATCAAATCTTCCATTTAGATTTTGTTTCTAGTAATTACATTGACTTCTGCTGCAGCATGGACAAAATCTTTGAGCCTAGAGATTCAAATTTAGAGGAAAGCACGCACAGTGGTTCGCACTCTTTCGAATGCCACCAGCTGGAGTTGCCGAGCCAACCCGTTACTCGTAAAATACCCAAACTCATCCTATGAATTCCTTCACTAACCACGTTTCCCAGACTGTCAGAAACCCTGCTAGTACAGCATTATTTATGTGATAATACATTTACAGTGTTTTTTGTATCTTGAGTGCCCCTCACAATAATCATGACCCAATTTTTCAAACATATAAGAACCAAAAAAAAGTTGCAAGACAACAATTTTAAATAAAAAAAAAAAAATTGCAACCAAAAATTCAAATTCATTAATTTACAGGATACAGTGATCTGCTTACGAGCCCTTTCAAAATTCTAAAGAATACTTAAAGTCAAGGTTCTTTCAAGACCCTACACATCATGGATTCAAGCTAGAGAAACTTCATAATTTGCTTTAAATTTCAAATGAAATGTATACATAGAATAGGATCAATTTAAGTTGCTACGGTGACTCCACTTTTGAAACTCTTTCCGACAGTAAAACACTGATTTTTTCCAGTAGACAGATAACTTAGAGCAACATTTACAAAAATGGCCATGTGGTTGCATTTACTTCCAAAAAATTAAGTAATACAGTTTCAACACCAACAAACCTTAAGTCAGAGGCACTGAACGCAGTTAGAACATCTGGAATAGTTGATGGGAGGAATTTCAAGCATGCTGCTTGGACTAGAAGTACTGAATCTGTATTGAGGCGCATTATTTCCACAAGTGAATCTAGAAGCTGTTTCAGAGATATTTCAAACTGCTGCTGACCTTTTCCAGCATTAAGACTGAGAAGGAAATAAAAAAGTATTAGAAATTTAGTGTCACTGCAAATAACGATACATAAACGAAAATTCACCCAGCCTAAGGACACATCATTGCATTCACTTAAGACAGGGGAGAGGGGTTATTATTTAATTCTCTGCTTGAGATTTTTTTCTGGTAAAATGCTTTTTCCCTCAAAACAAAGTACCTACCAATGATTCCAAATACACATACAAAGACAAAACTCTTGCCCTTTTTGCTATTCTGAGAGAAAAATTAATAAATTATTAATAAACCTTATAATCACTTCAGCTACGCCGTTATGTATACTTTCACTTTAGAAAGACAAAACATATAACTGTCTTTTTCACATGACAGCTAGAGTCTGTTATTGCTAAAAAAAACTGTATTGAAAAAAAACAAGAGGATCCTTGGATATTGTTTTAGTTTCCTGTTGTTTGTATGTACTTAACTGAATACATTTTTCTACGACTGGGCAAGGGTTTTTGGGTTCAATTGGCTTTAAATCCTTTAGAGACACTCAAAAAATATCCGTATATGTACTCAAAATATTCAGAAATTCGGTGCCAGCAAAATTTCCAGATTGGTGTCCCTACCTTACAATCTCCTGAGTACTTTGAAAATCGAACTTTCTACATGCCATTTTCCAGAATATTGGGCCTGAGAATAGTATTTCGGCAGTATACATGCATTTCAAGTGGAAAAATGTAGGTGATTAGGGAGCCAGCTTCTCTTTTCTCATGATGCACCATCAACTCAGGTTAGAACAGAAGGCTCTGCATCTTCTACTCTGTGACGCGGCAACGACACCTCTCTGTATGAAATCTCAAGTTAAATTGCCAAAAAATACATTTTTCTGACCTGATTTTCTCGAGAATGGCACAAAGAAAGTTTGATTTGAGAAGCTCATCATGATTAGGAGGTCATAAGGAACAAGATATGCAAAAATCTTGAAATTTAGTCAGTGCCAAATAATTTGATATGGTGTGAGAAACTTCTTTCATATTTGATCTACAGTAAAACTCGCTTATATCATCTTATGCACATATCGGAAACTCGCTTACGCGCGGCCCCGTTTTTTCGCCCAGAAGAACAATGCAAAAGAAATCTGGGTACATCCGAACTGCCCATAACCGGACTCGCTTATTTCGTGACCAATTTTTGGTCCGAAACCGATGTAAACAGGATTTTCCCCCAAAATTCTGCACAGAATATCAAAACTTACGCTGTTGTACCGTCAGCGATTATTCAAAAGAATCATGATAAAAGAAATACCGATCTGATTGGCTATTGTGTTTACGTCTTGCATGAAATGCAGACGCTGCGCTTTCGGCGAACACGGGCCGTTGCCTGATGCCCCCCCCTCCCCTCCAATCGGCGACAGCAAGGAACAAGACCACACACACACTCCCAACTTTTTCCTTTCTCTTCATTCCACACCTCTTTTTCTCGTCCTGCGGTGCGGTACGTCGGAGAGTAGCGTAAAGTGCGTAAAGTTTCGAAAGATATATTCGGCTCCTGCATAAATGGAGGGAGTCGGGCATAGTCATTTGCGCCTGATACAAAATGAACAGTCCGCAGGGTAAGAACCCATTATTTTCACAATCTCAGGCAAAAAACATCCAAACTCTCTTTTAACGGTACCCACTTACATCAGAAATTTCGGCCGGTCCGGACATGATCCGATATAAGAAGGTTTTACTGTATTGGTTTGTTTATTTCTTTTGAGCTTTAGCTCAGTTTGCTCTTAGAGTTGCTTTTGACATGACAATCACTTGTTTTTTTGCTAAAAAGCAACCCTTAAATGTCATAATTGAGAGACTAAGAGCTCGATCTATAAATCTTGCAATTATTGATCTACGAACATCCTTTTTTGACTCGAATCCTGATGACCTCCTTAAAATGAAGATTCATACTGACAGAAAATGCTGCAGCATTTCTCTTTATGCTCTATATTGAAGTATTTGAAAAAAAGGAACTTACTTTGAGAACAAAATCCGAGACCGTATGATGAATTTCATTACATACTGGATCGACTTCATAGTTTTTAACAATAAGTTTTTATCTGAACCATCTGCTAGGTCTATGTCGTTAATCAGGTACTGAAGAACAACCATCAATTTGCTGAAATCAAAAAATAAATCGACTTATAATAAAGTTTTAGACACCAAAACTAAATTCTAATCATCATCAACCACTAATCATTGTACCTTTTTCTGAGAGGAGAATATCCAAAGATATTAAATTTGAAAGGAAACCATGTCATATCATGCTTTAAAAAATATAAGTTTCAATTTTTAAAATGACTTCTAATCTCCAGACAATGACAAACTTAATATTATAAGAGCGTTTGCTACTAAAACGAGATGGCAATAATTTCAAGGTGCTTTGGAGCCGGTTGAATTGCGTTATTTTTAATTGTGTTCTCCAAACTCTCTGAGCATAGTGCATACTCCAGACAGCAAGGATGGTATTGAAGACTTACTTGTAAGCAAGAGTTGCACAAAAGCTCTCTCGGATATACAAATCAAGGACTGGTTGAAAATGCTGGTACTTGCGATCAGACACCAATCCAATGATGTGTAACTGGAATATAAGACAGAAGATGATGATGAGTAAAAGTAACTGAGAAATTGTCCAAGGTTTGATTACTTAGTACTTCGAGGTTCTATCTAGTTACAAACTGAAGGTGCACAGCTTTACAGAAACCAAAGAGAGATAAAAAATGTCAAGAACCAAAGTCAAATAACGCAAATCTCTTATGCAGCGTTTCAAAATTCCCGATTTTATTTTACTTTTTAAAACGATATTGGTAAAGTATCTCTTTTAAATTTTCTGTGGATATTTTTAAGTAAGGAAGAAAATTCACAGAAAAAATTAAGGAAAACTGTAGGTGAGTTTGCTTTAAAAATTAATAAAATACCTATAAACGAAGATTGGCAACATCACGATCAGAGTGAAGCATTTAACAGCTACAACCATCAATGTTCTTTGCACTAATGTATCTCTAATAATTTAAAAAAATCTTGGAGTATTTTACCTAATGGGCATTCTATCAATAAGTGGTATTTTTGGATAGGACATGAAAAAGTGTAAAAAAGTATACAGTAAGAAATGAAACAGATCCTGAACATTTGGCGACAGAGTTGCAAGGTTCAAATGACGCTTCTAGTTTATGTCCAGAGGTGTCAGAGGTCTGATTTGGAAAGCCTAAGATAAAGGTCACTTTAGGAGAAAATTAACAGGGGTCTAAGGTTTAAAAAATAAAGCCTAAAAGTTGCAATGAAGATGGACTACTTTTCAAAAGCAACCAGTCTTCCAACGGTTGGTTTTTACTGTTCAACTATTTAAAGCAACCGATACTTACCAAACATTCAAACACCATATTATCATAGAGATCAGAATCAGAATTTTGCATGAGTATGTTAAATAAAGCGTCTAGGACATCTTGTAGAAACTTGACAATTTCTTCGCCGTCAACTTTCATCAATGCTGCGAGAGAATCTGATAATCTGTCAGGGTGACTAGTCCAATTTAATAATCCTAGGAGATTCTCTGCAAAATAAGAGGACAAATTACTGAATGTTGAAATAAATTAATGCCAATCAGCAAGATATATTTATTGGAGAGTTTTACAGAGAAAGAATTTTATTATACGCAAGGCATTGTACTCGATTGTGCTCGAGTTTCAACTAATTTGCGACTTCATAATGTTTTATACACGGAAGATCCATACATTTGTTGGGAGATGTGGGAGACAATATATGTATCAAAAATGATTATTGCCACCGCGCGGCCAAAGTATCACAAGCGCAATGCAACATTAAAAAATTTCTGACGCCGCTTTATTTCTTTACAGAGGAATTGTTGGTTGAATTTGTTTGAAAATTTCATTGAATTTTATCGGCAGCACAGAGAAATTTCACTGAAATTCTCGGACAGCTTCATTGAACAATTTCTCTGAAAAAAGATAAAATTGCGGAGGAAATTTTGAGACGTTGCATGGCGCTTGTGATACTTTGGCCGGAAGGTGACGATATATGAAAGAATTCAGAAGAATTTTTGCTGGTTTCAGGCTTCCATTTAAGCGGTCAAAAAAGGAAAGCCAAATTTTCAGGTTTTTCGCACATTTTGTAGATAGTTTACAACTGTAGTGAGAGTCATGAAGATGAAAGTGTTCTCTCTTTTCTTAAAAAAATGTAAAGATAAGACAACCATTGAAAAGTCAAATTATGCTATACTTACCATTTTGAGTTAGTTTCGTGGAACACACATTCGTGTAAATAATGAATGAGTCTTTACTGCACAAGGTCAGGCCATCAACTACGGTCGGCGATTTATTGCTGTTGTCTATGAGTCCACTATTTTTGGAAGTCAGAGATAGGTAACTTATGTCAGTTGGGTCAAATTTTTTGTGATCGATCTGAAATGAACAAAAACAAAGAAAATATATTCAATCTGATGAAATACAGGACCAATTGGTGATTGCACAAGACCAAGATGAATTTATTTTTAAAACTGCATCTTAATATTATCTGAAATCTTACAGGGGGGCCACACCTTTGTTAATATTGGGCATGAAACTTACTAACAGCATGAACCTGACTTTTTTTGCTAGATACTAGCATTCAACAATCTAAAAACAGCTCAATAACTGGCATACCTGATTTACTATTTAAAATTCTAATTTAAACAATGAGGAGAATTTTAGACCGACACAATGTACCACTCAGTTGCCCTATAAATGATGTCACAAATATGTGAGACACATCAGACCTCGATAAATTTCAGAAAATGATTTATCTGCTTGAATTAGGAGGGATAATTTAAATTTAGGTGGGAAAAAATAATCCTAACAAAAGTTGAGAAAAAGAAGAGAGTTCATTGTGGAGCAAACCTTATAGACTCGTAATTCATGTTCAGTATCGGGAAGAGTTGTACCGTTTGGCTGCATCAAAGGAACAAAAGACATTGCGTACGGTTTTTCACTTTTATCTTTGGTTTCATTTGAGGATCTGAAACAAGAAATCATCCAATTGATAATCAAAGAGAAGGACGTAAGATTTTTATTTACATATTTTTATCTTTTATCTCAATCTAAAATTCGATGTAAGATTCCTGTCACATCTTACTCAATTTTTTATCAAGTGAGAAATATTTTCAGAATATTTCAAGCAATAAGTTGGCTTGTTGACCTTTAAAAATAATCAAATAAGAGCATGGACATTTTTAAAATTCTACAATTGAGGTACATAATTTCAGAATAGGGTTGCCACAAAAATTGGGAAAGGAAATTCCCTGACATTTCCCTGATTTCCGTGAAAAATATTGGTAATATTCTCTAACATTTGACGATATGCTTGGTGAATAAAAGTAGCCACTTGCAAACCCGAGCATGCAACAGTTGTTGCTTTAAACGTAAAAACCATTCTAAAAAGTAAATAAGAGAAATTCAACACTTTTCCTCTCTATCCCTGACATTTCTCAATTTTCAACGACTCATTAGAATTCCCAGATATTTCCCGGTTTTCCCAGCTATCCTTGATCGTAACAACTCTGTCAGAATCTATCCATTAATGAGTTAAAAACAAATCCTATAATTTTGAAATTTGTCATAATTGCAAAAGTCTAAAATCTTTCGAAATTTGATGGTTCTGTCAATAAACTTTTTGCACACATAAAGGATTAAAAACAATAAAAATATCCATACCTATGCTTAAAAGTAAATTTAAGATGACACTGTTTAAAGTCCTCGATGGGGACAGCTATCTTGAACGACTCATTCCACCGAGGCTTATCTTCATGATAATAGACCATGGATTTGTACTCGTTCTGAGGAGGGACACCACCTCCTTTGACTATTACACCCTGGGAACAGAAACGAACACACTGAAACGGACATACTAAAACAGACATACTGCAACTTGATACCTTGTAAAAATCGGATCCTGATGACTTCGCAGTTGAGAGATTTGATGGAAAAAAGCTATCAGTTACAATTCACTTTCATAGAGAACTAATACTGAAGTTTATGGTTTTAAAAATATTTCCGAGGATACTAAAGGTTTGATTCCTATACAGGGTGTCCCAGGATTAAGTACGAATGTTGAAGGAGTCTATTCTTCCGGGTAAAAAAAAAACGTTTTTGTAGTGTAACTTTTGTTCCGAAAATGCTTTCTCTGGGGGCCACAACTGCCCAAAGTTGGAGAAAAAAAATCGTTTTTTCATTACTAAGAAAATGTTTATGAGCCAACATTAATGAAAAAAGGGTAACTGGGGGAAATTTCTAGCGCTATTTTCTTTTTAGAAAAAAAAAGAAACTCATTGTAAGGGGGGGTTTCGGGAGGTATTGAACCTAAAAGTGGCCAAAATTAATGGTTTCTAGCGACAAAAATTGATTTTTGACGGCACCAATATATTCAGCGTCAAAAAATATGAAGAAAATGTTGCATTTTTTCTTTAAGACTCACTGTTTTTGAGATAATAGGGACTAATAGGGGCTAATAGGAGGATAATAGGGTCCCCAGGTAAAGCGTTTTTGGAACGCCCTTGGAACGCCTACAAAAATATCTTTTTTTGACCCAAAGAATCGACTTCTTCAATATTCGCACTTAATCCTGGGACACCCTGTATAGGTGCACGTGCAGCATGCACTCAAGTTTCAGGTTTCACACTTTTTCTTGGGTAGAGATTGTGATGGAAGAAAAATCTGGATTTTAAAGTATACCTGCGAAGAACATTAATGGACATCGCACTTATTACCAATAAATTTGGCTCCTGCTGAATTTCAAGGTTTTAAGCTGTGATATTCCTTACAATCTCCAAGCATGATGAGCTTTAAAAATTGAACTTTCTGTGCACCACTCTCCAGAAAATCGGGTCTGAAGAATACATTTCACGGCGATTCAACACGTTTCATCCTACTGAGAAGTGGCACCATCACTGAGTGGAAGATGCAGAGCCTTTGGTTCTCGGCTAAGTTAATGCGCCATCTTAAATTCCTGGCTGATGGCTGACACAAGACGAAGAAAGAGGATCTCTCTCCTTGATGACCGACATTTTACGGGGTGTCTAGTTTTTTTTCATTTTGGGAAATTCTGACAAAATCCTGATTTTTAACTGCTAAACTCTGATTTCATAATTTTCCGAAATCCTGATTTTTTGCCAAGAAAAATTAAAATTTCTGCAGGAGCCTGTGCAAAAGCATATAAAAATCTGATCGACTTTTCTCAAATTCTGATTTTATGACCGATTTTTCCTTGAATCCTGATGAAATCGGAATTTAGTCCTGATCGACCTCAAATCCTGATAGAATTGGGAAAATCGGGTAAGTCTTGATGCTAGACACCCTGTTTTACCACTGTATAATACATCTATGACTGCCGAGAAATGCAATTTTCAGTCCGAATTTTCACAAGACTGGCACTTAAAAAGTTTGATTTTAAAAGCTCACCTTTCTAAGGCGATTGTAAGGAGCATTAGGTATGTAGAAAGGTCTCGACATTTAGCCAGCGCCGAAAATCTCCAAGAAATGTAAAGAAAATAAATTAATTTTTCTGCAAAGACTAATTTACCTAGATAATTTAACCTGAAAACACATTACATTGGTCCTAGAATTACAAATATAAAGATTATCTTCCAATAACTTTAACTTGATTAAAACTTACCTGAATAGGCACACCTTTTTCATTACAAACTTGAACAGTGACTTCTACATTTTTATCGGTGGATTTACTACCTTTTGAGAATTCACCATTGACTAACGTTAAGTAAAGGTCATTCCTAACATCTCCTGGAAGAATGATTTCTGGAAAACCCATTTTCCTAGCGACTGCAACACTACCAACAACTAAATGAGGATTTTCTTCTCGAACCTGAAATCAAACCAAATTGTCATTAACTAAATGGGGATTTTCTTCTCGAACCTGAAATCAAACCAAATTGTCATTTTCTTTTTTACTGTCAACAGATGTGATCAAATGCCTGAATCTTCTGCAAAGACAAGTGGTATATTTTGTTAAAATCCTTCTTTATTAGAACCTGTTTCTCTTTGATTCATATTAACAGCTCATACTCCAGAAGAGAGTACTTGTCTGTGATGAACTGCATCAAAAATTTAATACTCTCTTATCTACTAATTCATTTGATGCTTATCGGCGGCGTAAGTCCGCAACCACATATCTCATTTGTGGCGTCCGAAAATCTCTGCCTTAATGTTATTTTTTCAAAGGTGAACAAATTGACATCATTCTTTGAAGTTTATGCAGAATTTTCTTCACACAGAGAAGAAAAATCACGGCAGTTTTAAAGAATTGCCGTTCAGAAGTTTTCGGTTTCAAAAATAAAGTATGAGAGGAAGTCTGTGACATCGCAAACCGAGTTTAGAGATTGCCGACTTACACCGTTGTTATATAGTAATGAACAGTAATCGATTGCTGCAGGAGTGATGATGCAAGACCACTAAAACATTGAAATGTTCAAGCCAGTTTACATTATATTCATATTGTGCTGTATTCCTTTATTCTTTAGCCTCCTACACACACTTGTTAAAACTGTATTTATTTTTAGAAAACACATTTCAAAAATAAACTATACACTTCCCTGACAGCATAAAAAAAAAATCAGATCTATTTTTTTTAAATAGATAGATCTATTTTAAATTTTCCGTGCAATTTTTTGAAGAGTGATACCTCATTACTTCTGCTGGTCTTACTGGCAAATTTTCAAAATATTATGTTTTTTTGTAACTTGAAAGGCTCTCAACTTCACTCTCACCAAGTTTGAAGGAAATTGCAGAGAAAGATTTTTTTATAGGTTTTGCAAGATTTATCAAGATGGAATTTTTAAATAGAAACAAAGGAAAAACCATGAGCAATATTCACCTGCTTCAGATCACCATCCAAAAGTTTAAAACTGACATATACACCTTGTCCTTTGTGATCCTTCTGCGTCAATTCTTTTATTGAAATCAATCGTTTTAAAGTTCCATCCAAGTTATCTTTATCACAACTATAAACGTAGAAACAAAAATACTGAATTATGCACGACAAACAAAACTTACATATATAAACATCATAATTAAAAAAAGGAATCTAACATTATATAAAAAAGAAAAAATAATAATAAAATAATTCATGGAATAATTTTATACGTTTTTATTTTTTAATTTTTACTTTTTCTCACATATTAAAATGAAATTTAACTCCTGTGGAAATAGATGAAAGGAATAAAGGGAAAAGGTATGTATATTGATTGTCTATCACTTAGGATGTTTTTAGCTTCTTGGAAAAGAATGGTGCAGTAAACTTTGAACGTCAGACTTGTAAGCATAAAGACTTAAGAAAATTTGACTCATATCATCTTTGACAGATTCTAAAATAAATTGATCACTTTTTTGTAGGCTACACTTGCTAGTCATTGCTTTATTTATGCAAAGTACATTTACAGTTTCTAAATTTCTACCCATTTTTAGTGATAATATTCTTTCAGATAGAACATAAGATTGTTATTTTACATACATTCTAAAAACAGAAATTACTGATCTACGATTGATTGTCAGTTTTATGATATAAACTTTGTAAAAGTCAGAAGGTATGGTGAAAGAGGGTAATTAGAAACTTACGCAAGGAAAGGTAAAAAATGTCGTTTATCTTCATCGGAGTCCAAATTGCCCATTAAGTAAAGGGTGATGTCTAAAGCAGCGACACCGAAAGGCCGTCTAACACAGTGTGAGGGGCTAATTGACTTATGTTTAGAATTTGAATCTAAGGCACCAACTCGAACTACATAACAAACTAAATAGACTTTTTCCCGACTGAGATCTCGACTCCCAAGGTCCTGTAAAATTGTAAATCACATTGAGTAGACTGAAATGAACATTAACGACAGTAGGAAAGTTACGAGTCGAGCATGTAAACTGGAACCTAGGGCTCCAAGTTTGTCAATATAATAGGACTAACACCAAATATTATTTCACTTGGTTTATCAGTGACGGTTATCAGTGGACGGAGTTAAACAGAAAGGAACCAAGCCACATCGGGATCGAACGGAGAAAAAGAGGTGTGAAGTTTGGCTCCTGCGTAAGACTCAATGTAAAAGATAAACTTAAAGTGCAATTTCTGCAAAATTTGCTCCAACAAAAACTTTGAATTTTTGGCGATAGATAGTAGAGCAGTGGTTGAGTTCAAAACCACTCCACAACACACAAACCACTGGGTTGGTTCCTTTCTGCTTAACTCAGTCCAAGTATTTGGAACAGAAATCTTAAACAAGAAATCAAAATTGGAATGTTTCTGTTCCAGGGGATACCAGTTCAGTTTAATTTCCTTGGTTGTATTTTTCACCTTTTTTTAAACTTTTCACTTCTTTGACAAAGAGACACATACATACCCACTGGTAAAGTATTCACCTCTACTTGAAAAAGCACAGAATTTCTATAGTGGTTAACTTTCCACGGAAATCTTTTAGAGCGTGATGGGGAACTAATCGATTCACAATCTGTTTCTGAGAAATCTAATTTTACTGGAAAATGCAACATTACTCACACTAAATAAGACACGTAAATTGTAATAAAAATGATTGATATCACTGGCTGCGTTGTCTTGATGCCACTGTACTACGAAATTTTCAGTGAAACTCTTTTGCTGCTTTGCATCATAGAGGGTGAATAACAGTTCTGCGTCTTCACTAATCTTGCAGACAAAATTGCGAACAGCCATGAAAATCGTGTGACTATATTTTTGAGAGGTTATTTTATTCGGTTTCCTTGATGGTTCCGTCTAAAAGACAAAGAAAAAAATGAATAAATTAAGTAAAGCAGAAGTCGTTCAAAAGAATGTTTGTTTTAAAAATTTTAGGCATAAAAAGAATTCAGGTATGCTTTTAATCTGAAATCATCAATATTTAGAAGCTCTAGTGGGAAAAAGTAAAACCCAATGGGGTACTTCAAAAAAACTATGTCATTGCCTTTGTCAAACAGTTATTTCATTTCTTCAACATTTAAAGAAAGAAAAGAAAAGAAACTAAGTAATATTTTTTTTACGTCAAAACTTACAATTTCTCTTTGTATCCTTTCTGAAGCCTGCAGATGTTGCCAATATAATTCTATGGTTGAAGTTTTATCTGGATTCAAAAGATTTCCGTGCTCATCTCGGACAACCATATCCAGTCCTAAAATTCTACAGAAAAAGAGAGGGAAGAAAATTAAGACAATTTAAAAATTTGCCAGCTTTCAGTGAGATTTTAATTAACTTCTCAATCAACAGAGGTTGTAGCAGATAAATGAATCTAAAAATAAATTAACAAAATTCTAGATGTTCATCCCTCACACAACATTACAACCGAGAAAAAAGTTCTCTTTACACTTAAATCATAGTTATTCATGAGAAAAATTGAAACACCATCATAAATGAGAACCCTGAGACTAATGAAACCTTGGCCTTGTTCTCAATAATTTATTGTAATTTTACAATTATTCCATCGAGAAAGTAAGGAGGGAAGGTGATACCAAAATAAAAGTATGACTAATATAGTAAGCTATATTCAAGAAATATTTTTAAAATTTAAAATGATTCATTAAATAGATATTCAACTTACTTATTGCCTGTATCTATAGTTGAAGTGACTAGTTGCTTGATTTCTTTCATTTCGTCTACTGGAAGTGTTCCTGATAAAATTTGACTACGAAAACGGATCAGCTCGTACATTTTGTGCTCAATTGTTTTGAAATTAGGACTATGTGTCTGAAACAAAAACATTTTGGAAGTTTGAACAATGTACATGAAAGCCCCTTATGTTGCTTTTCCAGCTATTTATTTAATAATCGATTAACTTTTACAAGTTTTTCAGATAGAGAGAGAGGGATGTTTGTAAAGTTCTGCAAGAAAGAACCCTGCAACAAGAGAGCAGGTCAGAGGCTCTCGTTAACTTTATATTGATTTTTTATATTACTGGACAAACTCTGGCCCCATCCTCCAGGAACTATTTTTATTACTTCAGACTTTTCTTAGAAGAGTTTAGTGGCATGATTACTTAAATGTTGAAAGTAAATCACTCAAATAACACTTTGAGCTTTTGACTTTTGAATCATTTTCACAAAAAAAAGAATAAAATATTCAAACAATCAAATTCCTCATACGGTTGGACATATTTTGGCTAAGCAAAATCCGAGACAGGTGGGAGAGAAGGGGTTTCCTCATTACCTGAGGGCCGTAAGAATGGAAAGGGAATTATGAAACGCCAGTGACATCAGCGACGACGGTCCGCAAATCGGAGTCGCCAACCCATGAGCCCTGTCCACAACCCTGTTATCACATGCTCAAAGCTCGTGAGTGCCGCATACAGTTGGCAGTTGGCACATAGTTCCGTTTGGTAGAATGTAAAATCCCGCTTTTCCATTTCCCCAAAGAGAGTCATGCCCACTTTAAGATTGTCTCTTATGCAGCTTTCTAGAGCACACCCCATCCTTTTCCACTTGTCCATAGTTCCATTTAGCAGAAATACCTACGTCCAGTTAATAAATACCAGGATTTTATTCAGAGGTAAAAAAAATTTAAAAAATTACAGTAAAAAAAAGGAGCACATACAATGTAGAGTTGTTTCCAAATACTGCCCCATTCTCTAAGCACCATAGTGATTTCTTGGACCAGCTGAGGCTGTTTGAGGGTTGTTTCCGTCGGTCTGAAACAATCGCATAAAAAATTAAGTCAGGTTCAACCACACTCTTGGAGTTTATCATGCTTCTCCTGTAGAAAAATATATTGATGCGATGCAAAAATCTAACTGGCATGACACATGTAAGCAGCATTTTTAGACAGGCAGAGTAATTATCATGCACAGTATGAGAGAACAGTTATCAACTCAAATCACAAAATTAGTGCAGGCTCCAAAATTAAATAAGTTTTTAAAGTAAAGGAAAGCACGCCCTCAGCTAAAGCACTCGACTTTCATAAATCAGTTTTTCATTCTTGATTGAAGTTCCCATTCTTTGATATTGGACAAAATAATTACATAAGAACATATCCTCCAACTTAACAATTAAAATTTTTACTTTCCAAAATTCTCAGCATTACCAGATGTTGCCAAGAAAAATGTTTTTTGTTTTTTATTGAGCAGTTAATAGTAATTTCTTGAGAACCCTCTAACCTCTAGCGCATTTCACCTCATGTATCTTAAATAAATGAAATTGAAATTGAAAAAAAAGAAGAAGAAAAAATTTATATTGATATTGATATTATACCACATACATTGATAGACGAAGTGCAAAATCATGTATCTTCATTGCGGTGTCTCAAAATTTTTGCTCCTATTTTATCTTTACAAAGAGAAACAACCTTACTTTATGGCCTGAGATGTATACAGAGAATTCTGCTACCAAAGAAGAAAAATCAAGGAAATTTTCAAGGAATTACGTAGACTAGTTTTCGAAAAAAAATTAAATTTGGCAGAAAGTCTAAAACGTCGCAAACAGAGATATGTGGTTTCGCTTTTCGGCCATCAATACTGCCGTGCCAAGGAAAACGTCGTAAAAACCTTCAGGCGTTGCCAAATTTCCTTTGATAAAACACGAATTTCCCGGTAAATCTATGAATATTTTTCTTCCAATTTTTCAAATAATGCTGTTTGCAATATCACCTAAAGTTCATGAAAATTTCAAGGAAAAATGTTCATAACTTTCCTCAAAAATAAACATTTTATTGAAAGAAATTCGGCAACCCTCGAGTGTTCATACGACGTTCTTCCTTAGTACGACAGAATATACTGAGGAATTCTTGTGTACTGCAATCACCGCAAACCGGGATTTGACATTTTTTGAGCTAAAATTACATGATAAGCCGTCGAAGTGAAGATCGTGAAAAAGAGTTGAGAAAGAATAGAAAGTCTACACTTTAAAAAAAAATCAATTTTAAATAAAAAAAAGAATGAAAATGAGACTGTGTAGCAAGATTGGAATGCTAATAATGTTAAAACTAATGAATCGTTGGTTTTGTGACACTTAAACACCGATCCTTAAATCATGATTTTGTCACACATACCCCATTTTTTCCGGCAAGGACTCCATGATGTGCACATAACACTTCGGGAAAACCCCTTTGGCTGTCTTATTTTTCGTTGACGAGCCATAATACCAGTCGTCCAGCTCCTCTAGAATATGGACGCTCTCACCAACAGTCAGCTTCAGTCTATTCGGCCCATCGTCCTGAAAATTGTGTATTGCTGAAAGAAGAAGAAAAAAATCAAGATGAATTAGGAAAACCATGAATAAATCAACTGAACAGATGAGGATTAAAGACATCGTAATTATTACAAAACGAATGAAATTTTTATGTGGGGTGGTTTTGATGGACGCATTGTCAACGGTCAATTTTAAACCATAAGATAGAATTTGCTTTTCGGAAATAAAAATAAAAAAAAAAAAAATCCGATTTTCAAATTATTTTCTCAGACCTTTGAGCTATTCTGCCATGCTATGGAAGAACGCCGTATGAGCCTTCAGCCGTTGCTATATTTCCGTCAATAAAAACTGATTTTACAGGGAAAATTATAAATATTTTTTTTTTAATTTTTCAGACAATTCGGTTCGCAATTTAATCTAAAATATCTGAAAATGTCAAGACAAAATAGGCATGGTTTTTTTTTTAAAAAATACATGTTTTATCCATGTAAAGTTGGCACCTCTGGAGTTCTTATACGGCGTTCTTCGCTGGCACGGCAGTTTTGGTGGGGGGTGTGAAAAGTTCTGCGAGGGAGAAATTAGTCGCAATCACAGCCTCAAAATTCCCTCATTCTGGAAAAATGTATTCGTTGCGGAAAACTGTTTAAGTACGCATGGGGGGAGAAAATTTCAAAAATCGGCGCGCTATTTTACTTCTTTTAATGTGGCGCTAAAATGACATTGAAAAAAACGATAAAAGAAATGAAATAGATGTGCAAAAAAGTTTTCATCGAAAAATGTCCTCAAATCCTCACGCAACAGCGGGTTACATCGCGCCATTCACGGGTTTCCTCGCTACACGTGGGCCCGTGCGCTCAATGGTTCAGTTACACGATCAAATTGAGCCATCAAAGCGGGCCTCTCATTGGTCCCATCCTCACCTCAGGTCTTTTTCCACCAATCAGAGCTTCAGTTTGATGGCTCAATTTGATCGTGTAACTGAACCTCAAGGATTTTCTGCACTCCTATGCTGCCGCGATAGCAAAGAGAGCAGTAAGTGTCAAATTTTCGAAATCGAGTTTCCTTCAAAATTCGTCTACACTCTTTTAGATGAAATCGCTGATATCGCTAAAACAGCAAAATTCATCGTAATTATGTCAAAAAGACATATTAGAAAGCCGTGAGTGCGCAAAAAATGACGTAGTTTCAGACAGAACAGCAGTGACATTATCCCCCCAGTAAGTCAATGAAAACAGAGCACTCAAGCAAAGTGCCGCCCTCTTCTGCCGATTTCCAACCTGGAAATATGTTCGTCGTGTGTCCAAGACGCAACCACGAAAGCATGCAGAAAAACACGACGATAGCACCAGTGGCGTGGCATGCTTTGCGATCTATCGATATTTCCCCATTTGAAGCTGTGGTAAAGAATCGATTAATAAGGTGTTCGCTGCGAACACCCTCTTTATCGATCCTTTTCCATAGGTTTCAATGGCCGATCAATCGATACATCGCAAAGCACGCCACGCCACTGGATAGCACTTACGGCTGTCTCGCCTAACAATAACCTAGCATGAAAATGAAAAACGCCCTTTATATGTAACTGAAATAAAATCGGTCGATTTTTAATCATCCGAACGATTTCTAGGAGTCTTTCGGACGATTAATGGCAATTTGACAAAGAACGGAGGTTTTCTTCCAATAAATTTTCCGGTCAGAAGCTTCTGAGCCCATTTTCTCAATACATCATTTTAATACTTACTGCTCTCTTCGTTATCACGGCCAGAGTGTCTACTAAAACAGGCTAGCCAAAAATCAGTACTTTTACTGTACTTTTCCGGTACATTCTCAAGAAATTCACTACCTCCTCGACAGAAAAGTTCAGTACTTTTTCAATACCTTCAACTGATGAAATTCGAAAAAAATTCAGAAATTTGAATTTCCCGCTCAAATTGCGACAAAAATGAAACAAATTCCGGACTTTCTTGCAAAATTTCCGCACTTTTTCACTACTTCCGGACCGCCCTTGAAAAGTCAGTACTATTTCCGGACTTTCCGGAAATTCCGGACTTGTAAACACAGTGTATTTTACTCGCCCCCTCTAGAGTCCCTTTATACCCAGAGTTAAGACAACTCACTTTTGGTTGGGCTGAAAGTGGCCTAAAAAAAAATCCAATTCTGATTGGTTCTCGTTCATGGAAGCCGAAACGAGTGCACCAAGATGGCGGTACCTCGAATGTGAACAAGAATAATGAAAATATTACCTAATTGTGGTTTATCAAGAGTAAATTGTTATTTCCATCGATCTAAAATGAAAATAGATTAAGAAATTATTCACAAACCTATCTAATTTTCGTTTTATTTGATCAATTTGTTGATGTTGTTGTTTTTGTATGACAGACATCGCAGGATTCCTGATCCTTATCCCTCAATATCGTTCGTTTGGGTGCACTCGTTTCGGCCTCCATGGCCAGCCAAGGCCGGCTGCCAGTCAGCTGATAATCGAGTTGTCTTAACTCTGGGTATAAAGGGACTCTAGCCCCCTCCCCGCCTCGATATATAAGTATATTCTTATTTTTGCATCATCGCTTTCCATCGACTATCGAAATGGATCTTCGCGGATTTGCAGCGCGGGGCTGGAGGGCCGAGCGAGGCGATCTGGGTCGGGTTTAATTGATGCCTATACAGTATAGAGTCGTCAGCAAGAGACGACTACAGTGTTGTCATTGTATGCGAGATTACCTGCCCGAGTCATGAGGCGATATCGTCGCCTTCCAGGCAAAGTATCACAAGCGCCATGCGACGTTTAAAAATTTCCGCCGCCATTTTATTTTTTTACAGAGAAATTGTTCAACGAAGCTGTCCGAAAATTTCACTGAATTTTCTTTGTGCTGCCGATAAAATTTAGTGAAATTTCCAAACAGATTCAACCAACAATTTCTCAGTAAAGAAATAAAATGGCGGCGGAAATTTTTAAACGTCGCATGGCGCTTGTGATACTTTGCCTGGAAGGTGACGATATAGTGGACAAAAATCATCACATGAAACGCAACATCCAATCAGTTGTTGTCGGCAGTCCTCGATTGAAGAATATCGTCACCCTCCAGCCTAACAACAAGTATCACAAGCACCATGCGACGTTTAAAAATTTCCGTCATTTTATCTTTTAACAGAGAAATTTTTGGTTGAATCTGTTCGAAAATTTCACTGGATTTCATCGACAACACGAAGAAAATACGGTGAAATTTTCGGGCAACTTCGTTGAACAATTTCTCTGTAAAAAAAATAAAATGGCGGCGGCAATTTTGAAACGTCGCACGGCGCTTGGGATACTTTGACCGGCAGGTGACGATATATCGATGGGTGTGCGGTTTCCAGGCGTAGAAAAAAAAAAAAAAAAAAAATCAGGGA